TACGTTAACTGCAATAATGTTACGTTATTTTGACAAAGGCAGCGTCATATCACATGATTGTGTACTAACTTGGTGATTTTTATAATATTGTGTAATTTGGTTTAAGTATATTATATTATTATACAACATTATTTAAACTATCCCATTGCGTAAGTTTTATTATTGTTTATGGAATGGACTCATTGATTAAAATGGTTATGGAGTGGACTCATAATTTAATATAATAAAACATGTGTTTTTATAAAAGTGTGTTTTATTTAATGCATAAAATACATAATAATCGTACATACAACTAAACATGGTTCAAAAGAAATAATGATTTGATATATTTTAACAACATGCTTTATAAAAATCTATCGAAATATATGATTCAGTCCTCAATTTGTCAAACTTACTCAATCACTCCCACATCACCTGCAATATAACCACAGCGTTCATCCAGTGAGCTAACGACTTGTTTCAGTTATCAGGATTTGCTATTGCGCACATTTTAACTGAGGCTGAATATAAAAAGAAAGAAAAATAGTTTACATGGTCTATGTAGGGAAAAAACGAAATACAGTATTAAAATAACAAATAATATAAATAACAATGTATAAAATTGAAAAACGAATGGAAAGAGCACAATTGAAACGCGTTCGTTAGCTTACAGTAAGAACAATTTAACTGTGACAAAAATCCAACATACAAACTTTTCAACAAAACTGAAGTCCTTGTGATGGAATGAAGTGGAAGGAAGACGCTTAATAGCTAACTGAATATGTTGTAAAATTTGGTAATTGTAGTATTTTCCTATTGTGAAATGGTAATTTTACTTTAAATCTAGTAAAAAAATCTGAGATGGCTCAAAAGTGAAACCGCGCAATACACTAGAAACACGCGCGCGGTGATTTACTGTTGTGGTTTGGATGGTATATGGATGTTGTCCATCAGCTGCCACCGGCGACCCCGACGATGGTGCCGTCGCAAGTCGGCGTCGCCGGTGCCGGCTGGTGGACAACGCAGCGGCGGTGGCGTGCACGTGACGACGCCGGCGCCGCCGCCCTGGTGTGCGAGCGGAGAAGCGCGCGCATATAATTCCGTACACTTTCTCCTCCGGCTTGGTCGTCGGTGCCCGCTGATGGAAGACCGAGTGACGTGTTTCCATTGGCGGGAAGCGGCGACGGCACGACCAGGCCGGGTGTTAGAGTGAACGAAAGTATACGCGGCTCGCCCGCTCCTCCGCTCGCCGGCGGCGGCGCTGTCGTGGCGCACCCTCGCCGCAACTAACGACACGTTTTATCCCGGGACAGTATATCCCCGAGGAACACTAGCCCTAAACTAGCCAGCGCAGACGCAGCCGCGGACAAAGGCTAGATTCAACTTATGTAACACGCAGTAATATGCGAGATATACACACACATCAAAGTCTTATCATAATTAATTAAATTAATTGTAGAGATTAACGATATACCGGATATAATTTTTACTGTCAGAAAAATTGTTTATTATAATATAATATCACTAACACGTCTAATAGAAGCCCACTTGCAGGCTATCTAGGATTAAACAAGCTGTCCAAAACATTATACTGAAACTGACTGTGATTATGTAGACGTTGATAAAATATCAAATCTTGAGTTATGATAATCCTAGACTGGGCAAGTAGGCCAAGAGCCGTTTAGGCATAAAGATTCAAATATTGTACTTTCAAAACAAAAAATATCTTTCTACTTTTGGCTGCCTATTAAAGAATGAGGCTATAATTACAAGATTTAAAAAGTGACACACTTAAAATAATCGTAAATGCAGCCCTTTAAAATGTTTGCATATACTTAATATAAGATTCATCAGTTCGTAGACATTTAAAAATATTATGCCATTAAAGATAATAACTAAAATATAAAAAATAGAATAACAGCAAAAAAACCTTAAAGCGTAAAAACAATATTCAATGCAAAATTGTGACGTAGTATAAGTTGATAGCTGTAATTTTGTATAAATAAAAAGTGCAATTTCAATTTCATTGTGATTTATGAGAACAGAAGAACAGCAAGGTTATTCTATTATGACTCGGATATTTGACGAAGAGCACTGCGACAGAAGCCATGTTACATTTGAAATTTCAACTTTTATGAATAGTTTTGTCACAATATTGTCTAGTTTTAAAAGTTTTCAGGAAAAAAGAAATATGTAATGCAAAAAACTAATTGTTGAGCGGTTTGCTTACTCCTTACTTCCTCCGATGTAAACTCTGAAATATATTTGCATTTACCTCTCGAATTTCCCGAAAAAATCTGGAAAATCTTCGAAAGAATCTATTCTAGATAAGCACGCGCTGTTTTAAGTGCATAACTTGAACGAAAACAAACTTTATGAATTGGATTACCGATTAGGCAGGTTTTTACAATAACTGGAAAATTTTATTTACTTCGAAAAGAGTACGAATTCTCATTGATCCGTCAACTATCATGTATGTTAGTTATAATTTTGAACGTTATAAGCTCAGGTTAATAAAGACGGGATAACTAGCAGCAACTGAAAAGAAAACCCATTAGTCACAAGTTTACCATACCGATCTCCGTCAAATAGTCGGTCCCGATAAAAAATAACAACAATAATAAAATTACGAACAGAACATGACTTCTTTTGAAGTCTTTTAGCATATTCAGTCGTATTCACCTTGCTGTCCTACTCCTTCAGTCACCTTCACTTGACTACTTTTCAAAGTCTATATAGTTTCTTTAGAAACACATTCCTTATTGTCAAGTGAGCTTACGATTAACACGTATATTATGATATAATTGAGACATATAATTACATAATATATTACCTAAATATACACCCTTTTAAAGTTAACATTTCAACTTATTTTAAATACCTAATCTACAAATATTAATATAAATGCACATGGCATTGGATGGCGAGGTAGAAATAATGACCTAGCTGCCATTTTTACAAGTTTTATTTAAATCAGGTCCAAACGTGTGGCACTTGCCTCCCAAAGATGATAATATCACTTGGATCACTTCGGCTTGTACTCTCAAACGACCCTCGCCACACTCAAGAACAGCTTTGATCTGTGACTGGACAAAACATTTAAGTTGAATCAATCATAGGTTGAAAAAGTTTAACGAGCTTTATGCATGGCTCCAGAATACAAGTCTACCTCGCCAACCGTTTCTGTAAAATAAAGTTCGATTCTTGGACACACGGAGATCAAAATGCACTACATGGTAACGCAGTGGCGGCGTAGCATAGGTTGGCACCCGGGGCGGCACCCCCCCCCCCCCGTCATAATATAAATTATAGCCTAAGGCACCCCAGAATGGCACCCCCCTGTCATGACATCACGATCGTCCCTGCCATGCAGATGCGTCAGTGAGTACTAATCTGCGCGACTTTTGTCACCCCCTGATGCTTGGCACCCGGGGCGGACCGCCCCCACCGCCCCCCCCTTACGCCGCTACTGTGGTAACGTTTACTAATTTCCATCATCATAATAATTTCGCCGTGTTGTCATATGAATCGAGCTGCATTTTACCTATTTATATTTTAAAGTGGACAAGAACAGATAAGGAGCAATTTAAAGGTATCGCTAAACGTAATTTTAAAACAAACAGATCTTTTCTTTATAAGTTCGTATCAGATAAACTAAAGCCCGGTCGCCGAGCACGTAGAATTTCGTCCATTGACCCCAAGCTACCCATCCTTATCACACGCGCGTAATTATGATGCTGTCGCGCTCGCACACTCACTGCGGCCACCCGTCGCACAGTCGTGACAGCAATATGAGCGAGGGTTGGACGAAAATTTACGAGTTCGGCGACCAGACTATACAAATATACATTTAATCATCAAAGCAACAAACGGTTAGAATTACGCGCTGTTAAACTGTACGTTGTATGTAACATCAGATTTCAGAATCATGTGTTGTAGTTGTACCCTATTGCTTTTTAGGTAAACAATAACACAAACCACGTTAGCGAATTGAATAAAAGAATAAATATTTCACATTTATAAAATTGAAAAGATGGCGCCGCCCCTATAGACATACCTGATGCAACTATTCATTACACAATTCATTTTCATATTTGAAGTTAACTTCAGTGATATTTAGTACGCATTTACAAGCATACTCGTACGTACCGCATATCAAACAATAGTTACATGTTTCTTCTTCGTCGCTACACCTGCCAGTGTGATCGTCACACCAGGTGGTGGCAAGCCTCACAATCCGTCGCCATTCCTCCCGCGCTGCAGCGGTTACATGTTTACTAAAGCCTGGTCCGTGAGCACGTAGAATTTTGTCCAATGACCCCAAGCTACCCATCCTTATCGCTCGCGCGTAATTATATTGCTGTCGCGACTGTGCGACGGGCGCCCGCAGTGAGTGTGCGAGCGCGACCAGGCTTTACAGCAAAATTGTCGCTGCCAATGGCAATGTTTTACAAACATTACTGTGAATTGTCTCTTGTAAAGTACGTGAGGAAGTTGCACAGGACACCCCACGCGTGCCGCCTGGAGCGCGGCAGGCCGGCGGGGGGCGGGGCGGAAGGCAGCGCGGGGGGGTCGAAGGACGGCCAGCGCCACGCCGGCGCCGGCTCGCGCGGCGACAGGTACACCGCTCCGCTCGGCTTCGGCTCGCGCGGCGCCAGGTACACCCTACCGCGCGGCACCTGGTACACCGCCTCGCCCGGCGTCACGCGCACCGGCGGCTCATGGTACACCGCCTCGCCCGGCGTCACGCGCACCGGCGGCTCATGGTACACCGCCTCGCCCGGCGTCACGCGCACCGGCGGCTCATGGTACACCGCCGCGCCCGGCGTCACGCGCACCGGCGGCTCATGGTACACCGCCGCGCCCGGCGTCACGCGCACCGGCGGCTCACGCGGCGCGTGGTACACCGACCGCTCGAGTTGAGGCGAGCGAGTACAAACGCGTGGCTCATTATCAGACGAGGGCCGGCTCTCGTTCACATCGTTTTCCTCGATTAACCTTGCCCAGCGAAAAAATTCCTCGTTTTCGTAATATGGACTTTTAGGGCGGCTCCAATCCTGATGTTTTTCGACCAGATCCGCCAAGGACAAATAAATGGTATTTGGCGCAAATTCATCGCAGGTCGCGTCTGGGGTGGCGCAGGCGGACCCGTCGTCGTCCGTTTCGGCTGCTCGGGGGTCGTCGTAGTGTCGCCGCCGGGGACGCGGGTCGCGCCCCGGGCGCCGGCATCAGCGGTCCCGGGAGACGGAGTAGCGCACCAGCAGCGAGGACAGTTCCAGCTCCTCGGAGTAAGCGTTGGACAGCGGCACGCTGCGGAAGCCGGCGCGCAGGCAGCGCACCGGCAGCGTGGCCTGCCCGATGAAGTTGGGCTCGCCGAACATGTCCTCGTCCTGCACCGAGAACCGGATCAGAGCCAGCTCCGGACAGTGCAGCTCAAACTCGCACCTCTCGTTCCAGATCGGGTTGAGCCCGTTGTCCGCTGAAAACCAACAAATCATTTTAATTTTTTCAAAACGAAACCCCCGAGCGTTAAAGATGAACATCGTCGGCCGTTTGGTGTAGTGGTTCAGAACGGACTACTATGCCGAGAGGTCCCGGGTTCGATTCCCGGCCGGGCAGAAATTGAAATGATGAATTTTAATTTCTGTGACGGGTCTGGGTGTGACTATGTATAATATTTATGTATTTAAAAAAAAAGTATACAACGTGTCCCAAAATTCAAGGATAAGCCGGCGCCGCAGGATGGACATAGTCATGACTACTTTAGGAAAAATAAGAAAAAAAATCTATCTTAATTATTTTTAAAGTTACACAATAAATTATGAAATTCTTCGAAAATTGACACCCCTTATGATATTTTACATTACCACGACCACTATTTTTTAAATATTTCTGTTTTTTTGTTTGTATCGGCAACTTAAATAGTGCTGCTGTCCACTCCAATTCTTAAAACCTCCAGAATCCTTGCAGTTTTTACACAAAAGTTAATCAAAATATTTTAAACTTTTTAGTTGTTTCTCAATCTCATGGCCCAAGTGCCCGGGAAGACAAATCCAACGAACCCAAATTCGATAAGCTTCCGCTGTTTCGTTTAGGAGTTCCTATGGCCAGCTCCTGGCCACCTCTTGACTTCATCATCAGCACTCTGGACATCATCTAGCACTAAAGTGCACGAAAAGACAAATCCAACGAACCTAAACTAGATGCAATTCCGCCGTTTCGTTTAGAAGTTCCTATGGCCACCTCCAGTCTCCATCCAGCTCAATGATACCATAATATTGCATTGTCATCGTACTTTCATAAGTATACCAAATTTCAGCTCAATTAGTTGAGGAGAACTGGTTTTAAATTCAGTTGCAAGATTTATCCCATACTAACTAACAAGCGAAGTGCTTGTAAAAATGGTACGCATATCTTTTTTGCGACTAGTTTTCATAGAGTATTATACCATTTTGGAATCTTGGATAGTTGCGTCAACTTTATAAAAAACTTGCCGCAGTAGTGTTCATACTTTTTTACAAAACGACGAGTCAAAGTTGAGTGAAACTAAAAATCGTTCAAAATTTTAAAGAAATATCATATTTTGATTATAACTTTTGTGTAAAAATTGCAAGGATTCTGGGGATTTTAAGGATTGGGGTGGACAGCAGCACTACTTAGGTTGCCGATACAAACAAAAAAACAGAAGTATTTGAAAAATTGTGGCCGTGGTAATGTAAAATATCATAAGGGGTGTCAATTTTCGACGAATTTCATTATTTATTGTGTAACTTAAAAAATAATTGAGATAGATTTTTTTTCTTATTTTTCCTAAAGTACCCATGACTATGTCCGCCCTGTGGCGCCGGCTTATCGTTGAATTTTGGGACACGTTGTATAAGTAGTATATCCGTTAAGCTAGCACCCATAACACAAACATTAAGTTGCTTACTTTGGGGCTAGCTGGCGCTGTGTGAAATTGTCCAAAGATTATTTATTTATTTATCGTAACATTTTGTCAAAGTCAAAGTCAAAATTTCTTTATTTGTAGACTAATAAATAATTCTTACAAATCGTCATTTTGCTCTTCAGGAGCCTCTACATGTCTCATAATCTTTTTACCCTACCAGCGCCAATAGGTCATGTGAATGCACCCTTTTATGAAAAGTAGCAGAAAAATTTACCATGGCTGATTCTGTTAAGGTCACACAGAAGTTTGCAGAACGAGTAAGTACTGTTCCAACCTGCCCTACTCCCAGCCAGTTGAGGCAAGCCATCGCTGGTCGTCCGCTCCCGTGCAAATGCAAGAGACTCGGAGGGTTTGCCCCAAAGCTCGCTAGCTGACTCACCGACGATCTTGGTGACGAGCTTGGAGCCGGAGTCGTAGTCGGCGCCGAGCACCTCGACCTCGACAAAAGGGCTGGCGGTGCCTCGGCCCGTCTTGCACAGGTGCCGCGCGCCGATCACACGCAGCCTTATCTTCCACGGGCTCGTGTACTTCTCGATCGCCTTGTAGTCGAAGGGGTTGTATCTGTACGAGTACACAGGAAAGTTAGCCACGTTGTAACACGTCAAAGTATAAAAAGAATGCTCGATGTTATGTTGAAAATTGTATTTCCCGGTAGAGGTTAACAAAGGTGACGGACATACTTTCGTCCCTACTTCCCGGTACCACCGTATGTTATCCCAAGGTGATGGTGTGACCAGATAAATTTGGGACGCGTCTAAAAATCTTGCATTAACTAACAAAGAATTTGAATTTGGATTCTTGGAAAGGGGTGCACTGAACTGATCAATGTTCCAGACTCACGTCTCATCCAGCATGAACTTCGGCTTGAGCACGAACCCGCAGTTGCCGTTCTCCTTGAACTTGCCGACGTTGATTTGCATCGCTTTGTCGGGCGTCTGGTAGTTGAGCGCCACCATTTGAGAGCCGGCGTTCCAGAAGGGCACCGGGTTATAGTTGGACGAGTCGATGCGCTGCCCCTTCGGATATATCCGGCTGAGCTGCACCGTGTGGTACTTCACGAAGAACTTGACTTCGTTCACGCACATCAAGCGCTCTGCTTTAGTCTCGGGGAAGGAAGACATCTCCGTGAACACGAAGCCTTTAGTCTTGAGCCTGCAGGGAAATATTCAGGACGTTTGACATCTATAACGGGAACGGGAATAAACACACCGCTGTATGTATCACTTCTGCAACTCCTGAATAGCCAGGATCTACAGCTGAGCCTCGAAACCCAACCGGTGAAGGTTGAGTTAACCCTGGGGTTAGCTGTCTTGGAACCGTCAAAGAATTTAATCAGAAGAATATAGGAGTTTGACATTTACTTTCGTGCTGATCATTCTGTGAGAACTGACACGCGGGTTAAATACTCATTTGTAAGATACACAGTGACAAAAGATGATGCACGCTTACCTCTGCTGGTTGAAAGCGACAGATCGGCAGTAGACGATCAGGTCGGAGACCTCCTTGGCAATACGCCAGGTGCGCTCCATCTTCTTGTGCTGGATAGAGCGCGCGCTGGCGTTTTGCGCCGCCTCCTTGATGGCCGTCAGCCACTGAAAGCCACCGCACGGCTACGTTAAATGCTGTCACGTGGTTAAATGATATCACCTCAATCCTGTCATAAGCAAAAAGAGCTGAAGTTTAAATGAAACCCGTCATAAATAGCTTTAAATTATACTTTGGAATGTCTTCTTCAGCGGTCGGTATTTAGTTAAAGCAAAGCTAATTTTGAGAACACTTTACTACCATTTAAACACTGCGCAGTCTTGAATGTGAAGCACCGGATACTGATCGGGCACTGTTCTCGCATTTAGACTTCCCTAGTCGCCCCATGAGACAAGAAGTGTAAGCATGAGACTGTGCTGGTTAGTTCGACAAGAGATTAGCATTGAGAGATGAAAAATTAAGTGAGAAACAAAAAACAAGCTGAAAATAATTTTGTTAAAACTACATTACCTTTGCTTTCTTCTACAGCCGCTGAAGTGCAATATGTCTGACATGTTATGGCCTACTATATTGATCAAGCAATACTCCCTTGAGGAACTCCAACGCCAATTTCCTCCGTTGAGCAGCTTCTGCGGGCTGGCGCTAGATTGAGAGAACAACTGAACCGCGACAGCACCCTTTATTCTTAGCTTTTAAGCCGGGTTCAGATGGGTGTAATTACGTGTAATGTATAGCCTGACCAGGAACATAAAAACCCTGGCATAGAGGCGCGTCAATTGCATTTGATAGTGCAACACTGAGTACAGTCGTACCTGTGTAAATTAATAGGCTAACTTTTTGTATCAGGATTCAGGATTACGGGCTAATTTGATATTTTCATAAATCAACGAAAAAATATTATTATAGGTAACCTGGTTTAAATAAATTAAATGAAACCATCAATCGAGCTAGTAGGATTTATTTTATTATTCATCAATAATCAAATTCAGAACTTGAATATTCAACTGCAATGTCTGCTCACGAACGCTTCAAACTCTGTACTTCTTTCCCAATTCCATAAAATTCAACACTTAGAAAGTGACAAAAAACTTTAAAATAGGTAGTTGAAACAAACCACAGCTAATTTTCATAGTGGACTGTACTATACGATAAACATGTCAGTCAATTTGACAACCTTTGTTGGAAACATTATTCAATGAAAATATTGTCCGAACCCTTGGTATTTCTCTTCGACAAATACTTTAACACATTGTGAACCACTTTTCTTTCACGACTATAAAAAGATTTTAGCAATTTCATTCACAAAATCAATTGCGCACATTTAAAATAAAGTTTGTTTACACTTTGACAGCAATAGACTGACATGCAAGGTGACATGTCAATGAAGTTTTCAGTTACTGTTGCCATTAAAAGAAATTAGTACCATTAGTTTTCCGCAACATGGCGAGGGTTTTTATGTTCCTGGTCAGGCTATAACACGAATTCTACATGTGGATGGCACTACGAGCATTACATGAAAAGTGTTGCCCATACTATTTTCATAACATTACACGATACATCCCATTACGCCTTACACCCGTCTAAACCCGGCTTTAGAGAACGCAGAATAATGGGGACAGATGCGGTGTCAAAAGCTTTAGTCAAAACTTTTGACATCTCAGCTGTCAATTGCGCCAGTAACTCACGGGTTTTGACATTTACTAGAATCTAGCTCCGAAAAAATAATAGGATAAAAGTATGCCCGATTACTGGAACAAATGTGCACCCCTTCTGCAAGAATCCCGGCGACGACTGTTAGTCCAACGTGAAGGGAAAATTCCAGAACACAGACTCACTTGAAACATATAGATTAGTGGTTCCGAAACTGTGTATTGAATGAGTTTGGTTAAGACCGACGAGTGGTCGGCCACGGTCACCACACTAGCCCGCCTAAGCCCTTCTACATGGCTGCCTATATCGTCAGGATCAGGTGGCTGCAGAAAAAAAGGCTCCACATAAGGTTCTGCAGCCGATGTGATTCTCTACCGATATCCTGCTAACATTAAATCAATATAACAAAAAATAGCCTAAAGAAGAAAAGATAAAGAAAGGGTTGGGAAAATGTTTTTGTATAATTTTGTTCGTTTCAGCCGAATGACGTCCACTGCTGGACAAAGGCCTCCCTCAAGGATTTCCATAACGACCGGTCCTGCGCTGCCCGCATCCTGGCTCTTCCCGCGACCTTCACCAGATCGTCGGTCCACCTAGTGGGAGGCCTGCCCACGCTACGTCTTCCGGCCCGTGGTCGCCACTCGAAAACTTTTCTGCCCCAATCGTCTCTACGAGCTACATATGTGCCCCGCCCACTGCCACTCGATTTTAGCAATTTTAGTTAGTAGACTGGTACAAAAGAAATGACACTGATGAAATGATATGGTAACATATCGCGATCGAAGCGAATGCTTGTGAAATATCCCACAAATGGTTCTTATCATGAAGGGTTGCCAAGGGGAGGTAAAATGTGTGAGATGATTAGCATCCACTTTCCGAAAACCTATGGGACAGTGGGTTATTGCAGTCGGGACCCTATGAGGCGATGAGCCCCTGTCCCGCACATATGACACTTAGATGCAATATAAGGTAGGTATGAAGGAAGTACCATTTCCGGGAGAGGGGGGCCGCCCCTGCCCCTTCCCTAGGTGAGCGAATACCCATTAACTGCGGCAAATGTGATGGCGCAGTTAAACGCGCACGGAAGTATTGGCGACAAACCGAACTGCGTTGTTAAAAACGATGGAGTGGACTGTATTAGATGGATAGGCCTGCCGGTGGTGATTATAGGTGTGCTAGAAGCAAGGAAACACCAAAAAAGGGCCAGAACAGTAGGTATATTGCTCAATACATTAGAACACGAGAGCGTACAAAAAGGCAACTTCAAAAACCCAAAAAACAATATTAAAAAAAAAGTAAAAAACCATAAACAATTATCAAAAAAGGATTGCTGGCCAAACTGCCAGCAACATGCGTGTTTCGATCTCATTCGATCAAGTTCCATAACGGCCCGTTCACACATGGGAGTCCGTTTTACTGGTACGTTTTTAACGGATACGTCATAAAGGACAATGACCAAAAGTGGTCCAAATGTCCACCACTAATGAGACCTATATTGACTTATAGTCCATTAAATAGAGATTAACTTTCAGTATGGGACCAAAAAAAAATAAGTTGTCAGTAAAAAGTTATGACTGTTTCAAAAATTGTAGTAGTTTACACGCTAATCTCAGGAACTACCGGTTCGATTTGAAAAATTCTTTTTTTTTATGGATAGCCCATTTATCAAGGATGGTTTTAGGATAAATAACATCACCTTAAAACCAATAGGGGCGGAGCAGTAAAGACAAATGTTGTAAAAATGGGAAATATTATTCAAACTATTTTTACGCGTACAAAGTCGTAGGCACAGCTAGTATAATATTTAATAAAATTCATCTATAACCCCGCGCCACATACGACATGACATAACATGCGTAGATTAGTCCAAAATGTGCAATGGATACAATGATATCAAGAACATTTTTCGGATGAAAAGGTAAAAAACATGACTTTTCATTCAGTCATAACTTTTTACTGACAGCATATTTTTTGATTGCGGTTTGGTTATAATGAATCAGTATTTAGTAGACTATTTTACTACATAGGTCTCGTTAGTGGTGGACATTTGGACCACACTCCATACATTTTTGGTCATTGTCCTTTATGCTCTGTTCACACATAGGCACCGTATAACGTTCAACGGATCCGTCATTACTGGATCCGATGTGTGAACAGAAAACTCGCAGTATACCGCCGCTATTCTACAAGTATGGACGTCCGTTAAAATTCTATCCGTATATTTTTACTGTTCCGTCGTATTCGATGAAAAAACGGAATGTAATTTTTTTACGGAACGATATTTTTTACTGTATAGGTACAGAATATCGTGTCATGTGTGAAGTCGCTCATACAACTACATACGCCATCGACGAACAAAAAACGTACACGATAAAACGGAACAGTAAAACGGAGTCATGTGTGAACCGGCCGTAAGGCCCTCTTCACACGTTCCGGTTGCCGGCTAACCGGCGCCGGGTACCCGGTGGTGAAGTGTATGGGCATGCCGGATTAATTACGCCGGAACATGTGAAAGCTACGTACCATGTCCATACACTTCACCACCGGATACCCGGCGCCGGTTAGTCGGCAACCGGGACGTGTGAAAAGGGCCTAAGGGAGGGGTGTGTGTGCGTGTGCCATGAAGTGTAACTGACCTCCAAAGCGATTTCCCTGGTGGGCGCGGCCATGTCGAAAGGTGAGACCATGGCGGGGCTCTGCACGCGCACCACCCAGCGCGGCTTGCCCGTCTCCTCTCCCACCACCAGCTCCACGACCGCGCCCATCACGTCCAGCTCGCCTTGCTGCAAGGCACCCAACGCAGCTGTATCGCTCGTCTGCAAACGAGCAAACTTGTAGTATACTAAGGTTACTCTTTCTCCCGCCACTTGTCATCGCCAGCCAATGTGTTGTCCCGAAGCGAGAGGCAGAGATATTCGGGACGTGCATAAGTGCCAATAAAGTACTAATAAAGAATTCGAATGTTAGTAGCACAAGTCCGCTTTTTGCTAACCCAACTCTTGGCATATAAAGTGTTAGTCTAACTTTACACTTTTGTGTGAGTATGAACATGGTGATTTTCATTGGTATACCATAGACCTCGCTCTAAGTAATAATTTATTTGGAAATTCAACAGCAACAATTTATATGTTACAGAAGAGTTCAATACATAACTTTAGCCAATTACAGAGTCTCAGTATGCAGATAAGTTACATTTGAAATGGCTTTTGTGTTCAATTGATGTCAAATCGATGTCAAAGTGCCACAGAACCGAACGCGTAATCATAACTGCATATAAAATAATGAATTCATTCAGCATTGTATAGTGGTTCGATTCCTAGATGGAACAGGAGTCGGCACACACAATTGTGTATATTGAATTATTGATAAATACCTACGACAGCCCATAGAGTCCGACACCATCACCACACAAATTATCAAAGCAAAGAACGACACATTGATGTGTCACGCATTTATATGACAGGACCAAGCGTTGTGGAAATCCGGAAGGCCATTGTCCAGAAGTAGACGGCCTAAGGTAGCAACGAACATGTGTCAACTTATGAGCAAACTGCATGACAAACATTGATGAGCACATGTAAACATCAAGTATCATTTCAACTTCGGCTTCGGCTGCGTAGAATAAATTTAAATTACCCATGAGTCCATATAACTCTACCAGATTCCGAAGTATTTGGTCACACACAAAGCTGCATAACAATATAATATGTATGCGTCACGCACACAAACACAATGACTTGCGCTTCGATCGCACTTTTAAGCCATTGTTGAAGAAAAGCCATGGTTTAAGTTTATTTACACAAACATCTTCAAATTTCACGCCGCACAGCAAATAATAAGCAGTATATTTCCACTAAAGTAATGTGAATCACACCAATCAACCGGTGCACAAACTCGCAACATTTGAAACAATTCGTGTGGCAAAGGAACTCTGAAAGTTCCTATAATGCAATGCGCCCAGCATTAGAGGTGCCTTCCTTAAGAGCTGTATGTAGACTATTGAGTGTTAGTAGTTACTTAAATATGTGGGTTTGTGAACGAAACGCATAGAAGCTCCTTAGAATATACTGAATCACAAGTACACAACCGAAGGGCGAATCAATTGTCCATACTAACATTTTATTGGACAGTTTGTTGCAGAAACATCTGGAAAGATTTAGAATTAAATGACGTAATCGCTCAGTTACCGAGTACAGTACACACAGAGAAATATGATAATAAACTACTACTGCTGCCACACTTACAGGATAAGGAATATGCTATGACAATGATTCTTCGTATGTGAGATTAAACTCACTTACACACTTAAACGAAGTTATCACAAGTCACTTGCATTCGATTTAACGAGCCAAAACATATTTTAAATAATAATATCTGAACAAACAAGTTTTCTTGTTGTTTAATCAACTTAATCGTTTTACATTCATGAGGCATATGGACAAAAAGATACAAACGTAGAACCTCTTTTGTATTCGGATAAGTCGAGTGGAAATTAAACATGGGTGCGTCACGTGAGAGTATTGCGTTCGCTTCTACGTTATGTGCCGTTCACAGTGTGTTAGTAGGGCTGCCAATACGCAAGCATACTAACTGCGATCTCCGTAGCTTGCGGGACTTCGATCTCCTCGACGTAGTTGGCGGGGAACCAGTGGTGCTTCTTGCCGCCGTAGTCGCCGCGCCACCAGCCTTCATCGGGCTTGTCCACGTTGGTGATGATTGCGTGCTTGGCGAACGACAGCTCGTCGTCCTGCCGCGCGCGGTAGTCGTACAGAGCCTTCACCGTCACCTGAAGCCGGGACAAACGCATTCTTTTATTATAAACACAGAAAACTGTAGACACAACATTTATGCACTTATGCGATAAGATGGGAAAGGTGGGGCTAATAAGCACTACTAATTTGTGACAAAACATAGAACCAACATTTGGTTTGGACCAGAAGCATTATTTATTAAAAAAAAAACAAAAGTAATTGTACCTAAAGGAAGTAAAAAAAAATAAAAATAAATAAAATGAAAAAAAAAATTAAATAGTAAAAAAATACTGAATAACTTTAAAAAAAAATAAAACCGACTTCAAATGCGTTAACACAAAAAAAAACTAAAAATTCAAAATATTGCGTATATAAAAGTTCATCCCCAATTTTCCACCCTTGGGGGTGAAATATTTTCTGCAAATTCGCATGAAACCACCCTTTTGATAATACCTATTCAACAAAAAAATAATCGTTCAAATTGATTTATAATCGGCGGAGATATTGCGTATAAAAAAGTTTATCCCCAATTTTCCACCCTTGGGGGTTGTTTTTTCTATTATTAAATTTAAATGGGACCACCCTTGAGGTATTACCTATACGCCGAAAAAAGATTTGTTCAAATCGGTTCATAATTGGCGGAGTTATCGCGTAACAAACATAGAAAAAAAAAACATACGGGTCGAATTGAGAACCTCCTCCTTTTTTGAAGTCGGTTGAAAATGAATAAAAAATACTGAAAAAGAAAAAATAAGTACTAAGCTTTTTTGGCAGTGAGCAAAATATACATGTAAGGAAGTAGTCCAAAGTCCAGTTCAGAAAAATCTATCCTAGAGTTAGTCTAGGTCTAGTTATAAGAACATCTATTGAAGCATACCAAAGATTGGAAGGCTTACGCTAAATCGCTCCATCGCGCCCGCAATACCTCGGACCAGATAATACGAAGCCGACGCGAGTGGGAAGCACGCGTCACCTTGTTGTCGTGGTCACCATCGTGACGCCGCGGGCACGAGATCGTGGCCCATGCGCGGCGAAGTTACGCTGGGCGTCATCTCCCTTTGGTCAAGTGTTCGCAAAAAACTACCCCTCACATTTTCATCTTAAACTGTACACACGATTTAAAAAATATTTAATAAAAAATAAACGAAGTTCTAGAAGAATCCTTTTCAATTGTACTTTTATAGCATTGTTGTTACAATTTAATTTACGTCTTATCTTTGGACTAGTAAATATTATTAAAATGACTCACCTTTTTTCCTGAATTTATTAAAACAGCAACTTGTTATGGACGGAAAAATGGGTGGAAAGATTTTTTGGCATCATATACGAATTATTTTACTTTTTTATACTTATTATACAAATGTTAAATGTCCAAATCCTACTTTTATTCCTCTTTTTTGTAGCACAGCACATGTTGCCACACGGTGATGTTAAATTCCCCCAAAATTGGACAAATTTTGATTGTAATGATTCGAGTCGCACTGGTATCAACTTCTTCGTTGTTGAATCGTAGAAACACTTTGAAAGTGTACTGGTAGGTGCCGCGGAATGGCCACCAGCAGACCGACACGTTGATGCGATATGCTATTCTTGGTGCCATTTTTGCTATATGCAATGTATTACGCGGTTGAGATGAATGCAATTTCACTTTAGTTGCACCTTGAAAAGTTAAGCCGCTCTTATGCAAGGGAATGCATCAGAGTATTACGCACAATTTTTTAATTTTAATGGCTATTTAAGGTAATTTTTGTCAACAATAAAGAAAGCTCTATCCGGCACTAGCTTCGTGTACAGGAAATGGATGGCGGACAGACACTTTATATGAGGATTTGAAATGCTATTTATTTATGCACTTTTGTATATTATATGGTCGGCTATATATCGCAGGCACTCCGGTGCGCGTTCCGAGTGGCACTGAGCCTGGGAGTCTGAGCACCCTCTTTATGTAAGTAGATAGGTATTGCCCGCACCCATAATGGACGAGCTTAAAAACAAACAGCACGTGCGGCCTTGCACATCACATCAGCATACCCTTGGTGCGGCCTACACCTTGCATCCCGCGCTCAGCCAGACCTTAAGTGCGTTTGTCTATAAATAGATACTAGCCAAAAAATATTAACACCATTCGTATATCAAACAGGAACTTTAGGCAAATTTATTCAACACACTCGCGTCAGCTTTAATTTGTGGAATTATTTAAAAATATTGGTCTACAAGATGGGAGTCCAGCCTAGCTATGGCACTACGGATAAAACATGTACATGAAAATGATAAGCTGCTACGTATTCTAGGTCTATGAAACAAAACTATAGAATGCAATATTTAAATATAAAATCCACATCCCGTTTAAACTAATAACTACGCCAAATAGAAATTGACTAGAAAATATTCTAATGATATTAACTATTTTATGAATCTACCTATAGATCTAAGTTATCTGTCACCGATGGAACCATAGGTGTATAGTCATGTAGCCTGTTGACAAGTCGATTGTTCTCCTACCTCGTGTGCTCGTGTGGCCTACGTGCAAGAAGACATTATAGGAAAATTCCAGAAAAACGAGTACCGATTTATCATTTATGCATTAAAGCCGATATCAGTTCAAAATGTGACCTTGGTTCTATAAATAAATACGAGATCACTCTCGAAAGACGTTTTTTCTTTTATATAAGATTAATTTAACTACTCAGTCTTGTCAACAACATAAATATTTAATCTGGCCCTAAATACGAATATTTGAAATCGGGTTATTACGCATAAGTTTTTGGTACCTTCTGGAAAATTTTAGCTAATCAAACAAGTATTGTCGTTGTTTTTGGATTCAGTGCTCTTATTGTAGACTAGGCATGTATAACTTGGTGAAAAATCTTAAGTTTACCTCTGTGATAAGTCGATGTCAATCATTATATTTTGGGTGAAATTGCACAATAAGTCAATGTCCTCTGAAATATTTTAAATTTGCATAAAGCGTCAACACGTAAGAGAAACTCAAAGGATTAGCCGGTGAATACTTCCTGGTGCGCCCGGTGCGTAGGAAATATAGTTTTCACTGTACATAGGGTGATTCATAAATACGGTGTGAAAACATAGTTTACTTCTGTTAAGTATTTGAAACGAATCAACAAGTAGCAATCTCAATGTTTTTATGACTAAAAATGGGGTTCACAATGTTACTACGTGAGCCATAATGAAATCTAAGGGTTGCAAAGGGATGTTTTTTGAAAAAACTACATGGGTGTCATTTTCGGGTAATCTTAGGGTGATGATCACGAATATAATGTCTGTTTTGAAATCCTTTGTGCCGAAAATGGGTTCTATTTTGGAAAATGAATATGGGTGTTATTTTCGAGATTTCTTGGGGCGCTGATTCTTAATATCGCATCTATTTTGAAATCTAATATAGCAGAAAATAGTTTTGTATTACAAAAACAAAATGGGTGCCATTTTCGAAGTTTCATGGGGGGATGATTACAAAATATCATCAATTTTAAAATCTTAGATACTAGAAATGTTATTTTTTGGGAAATCAACATGGGTGTCATTTTCATGGTTTCCTAGGATGTTGATTCATAATATAGCATCACTTTTGAAATCTAAGGTTGGGAAAACGTATTTTTTTTCTGGAAAAACAATATGGGTGTCATTTTCTAGGTATCGTGGAGGATAATTATTTAAAAGGCACCAATTTTGAAATCTATTATCGGAAATAGGTTTTCTTTAGAAAAACGAATATTGGTCTCGTTTTTGAGGTTTCTTGGAGCGCTGATTCTTAATATAGCATCACTCCTCCAATCTAAGATACCGGAAGTAGACTTTTTTGGAAAATCAATATGGGTGTCACTTTCAAGGTTTCTTGGGGGCAGATTACTGAAATAGCAACAATTTTGAAATCTGAGATAGCGGAAAGGTTATATTTTGTAAAATCAAAATGGACTATGTGAATAATGTCAATGATGTCGACTGTACATAGACGTGCAGCTACCAATGTAGATAACTTCGAGGTGGATAGATGAATGTTAGAGATGCACACATTTTTTTGCTGCTGCCCCGTCTATTCTGGGACTCGTCACTCTAAGTAAGGCAGATGGATGCTAATATGGGCGATGACAGCAGTCACGATTAATTAAAAGAAGCATTGCACACATTTCAGTAATATATGAGCGAAATTGCCTATTTTTATTTAAAATGAGTGACGTCACAATAGTCTATTTATAAATTGACATAAATATTGTTGTGACGTCATAAAAAGTACGACATTATTGATTCATGTTGTCAACATAACTATTGTTTACCGAAATTATTGTTTACTTGGCCACCGTTAGATGTAACGGATAACACACATTGTTTTTATTCAATTATAATATTTTAGCGCGTAAATATTTGGATGCAAATAACTTGCAAATAAGAATGATCTAGAACAATACGCGAATATTGTAAATGATAATGTGTGATGGCACTACAGTACAGATGGAGCGGGAACATTTTCATATTACAAAACTATTTCAATTTGTTTGAAACTAACTAATTGAAGTTCCCAAACTATCCAACTAAAGCGACCATAGCCCAGTGGTGTCGGCATCGGACTAACCACTTTCGGGGAACGCTAGTTCGATTCCGGACCCGCTGGGCTATTGGTATTGCGGTGAGGGGCTGACACAAGGATATACAGCTTGCTTGAAAGGGGTAGCAGCGCTATTAGTCATTTGTTTACGACAAATTACATCTTTAAAAATGCTGTGTAATGTGGAAAATCTCGATTAAAATGGCTAGAACTATCTTCTACTTTAATAAACGGCTAAGTAGTTACCGCAGGGTGACTCGGCTGCCACGATTCGCAATCGCAGTACCCGAGGTGATAGTTTTGTCTCCGACCTATGTCCGTGAAGTAACAAAGATAATTATTATATGTACTTACCTTATCATTTAAGTTAATTGGTTTGACTATGAGCAGGGATCAGTTGAGAGGTACTCTCTTTTAATAAATAATTGTTGCAATTATTGGAACAACACATTTAAAATTGACAAATTTATTAGCAAAGGGGACACTTGTATTATTTTGTGTATCATAACGTTGAAGGATAAAGCTAGAAATGCTGTGACTTTGTACGCGTGAAAATTGTTTGAATAATATTTCCCGTTTTTGCAACATTCTTCTTTACTGCTCTGCCCTTTTTGGCTGTAGGGTGATGTTATATAGCCTAAAGCCTTCCTCGATAAATAGGCTATCCAATACAAAAAAACATCAAGCCAGACCAGTAGTTCTTGAGATTAGCGAGTTCAACCAAACAAACTTTTGAGCTTTATAATATTAGTATAGATTAGAAGTAATTTTAATGGGTTTCGATCGGTTTTTGACCATATACAGGAGAGTAAAGGAAAGGAAGAAAGAGATATATAAAGATCGCTTTAACCTAATGAAGTCCTATTGGGCAAAGGGCTCTCCCACGGATTTCTACATTCAGGCGTTTCCCACAACCTGCACCAGATGGTCGGATCGAGTAGTGGCTTCCTACACTACGTTTGCCGGTTTGTGGTGGCCGCTTTCGAGTGGCCCTCACTTCGAGTCTGATGATGCTTGAAGGGTCTTTATACAGGGTGTTAGGTAAATGGGTATATGAGCCGACACTAGCCCATGTTAACATGGGCATATAAATGGTATGGTGAAGTCAGAAATTTGATATCATCATTTTAATTTTTTTAATTTTCATACTAAATAAATTTTATAAAATCCGATTTGTATGAAAAATAAAATAATTAAAATGAAGATATCAATTTTCTGACTTCACCATACCATTTATATGACTATGTTAACATGGGCTAGTGTCGGCTCATATACCCATTTACCTAACACCCTGTATATTCTCTCTCATTGACCTAGGAGTACTTGTTAATGCAAATCAGGAGCCCCGACCTGCAGCCCCTTATATTTTCCTGCTCAAGGACCGAGGCGTACTTGTACATCGCATCAGGCGCCCCGGCCCGCGCCCTTTTATATCTTTTCGCTTATAGACCGAGGCAAGTAAGTAGACTTGTGAATTCCCAAAATTGTGCGAAAAATTCGTTTTGTTGCCAACAGTATAATGATAACAGAAGATGGACTGACAATAACTTTAGTTTTGGTGACGCTTTGCGAAGTCACCAAAAAACCAGGAACTACATCATTATTTGCGATTTTAATGCCGATTTCGACGGGCTGTCAGGGGGCGCCATAGAAATCTCGCCCAGGGGCACTGGTAGTGCTAAAAAGACTAAAGGGAACCTAGCAGTTAATGATTGCACACGGGCGCTATATGGGCGAGAGGCTGGATATGTTCATTTCATAAGAATTTTTTTTTCCAATCTAAGTATTAAATACGTTTTTTTTTTTTTTTTTTTTTTATGTGATAGGAGGCAATAATTAAGTTTACCTTAGACACGAAGGAGGAGGGATCCATGTAGCCGGGGGTGCCGTACACGGAGCCGTCGTCGGGTTCCTGGGAACATCATTCAATGTACATTATATTTGCGAATGCGAGGTGTCAACATATTATTTATGTAATTATTTACAAAAGTTAATCAGAATATTGGTGATTTCACTAATAGTCCTGTTAACCCCTCGTACTAAGCTCAATAAGTGTTACGAGTGGGTTCTCCACGATAGTCCCGCGGCGATTCGATGGTTCGAATCCCGCCAGAACGGACGCTGCTGCGTTCCTCGGATTTCAGTCGGCCATTGCGACACCTTAGGCCAGGGTTTCCCAATTTTTTTTTGCCAAGAAACCCTAATTGATTATACTTTTCCTAGCGGAACCCCCGTACTACTCCGCCCGCACGCCCTGCCCCTCCCTTGTGCGTAAACAAGTCGGTGCGAGCGAACAACGTCGGTCACGAAACGTGGGATAATATTTTTTACGGAACCCTTGCGGCCTTTCCACGGAACCCCAGGGTTCCGCGGACCACCTTTCGGGAACCGCTGCCTTAGGCCATCGTTCAGTTATCGCCGCATGCTTTTTAAAGTACAAATATTTGGTCCCTGATTGGTTAGAATCCTGCGTTAAAAAAAGTGGGCTTACACTGATGATCCTCTTAACCACTTTCTCGCTTATGGGATGACACAGTTTCACCTTCTTATAGAGCGGGTGATTCTCGTAGTAGCTGACGAGCTCCACGAGGCTCTCGAACTTGACCGTGCCGATGGCGTAGAGGCGGCCCTCCTGCCGGATGCGGCAGTGCTTGATCTCCTTGTCTGACCTGGAACAAGGCAGGGGATCGCTGGAGAACCACTTACTTACAAATTCTTTATTACAGTGGGTCTAGACCAGGAATGGCGAACCTTTAAGTTTGAACGTGCCACTATTTAAAAAATATTTGAAGTAGTCATAGACACGTGCCATTAAATTAACACCTAATGCTATCAAGTGGCACCACTGGTGAGTGACACGACCTTACTCTACAGTGGCACTAACTGATGACGGCAAATACGATAGCTCATAATCAAAACACATTATTTACTATTGAATTACTGAATTTGTGATTGGTGGCGTGCCCAAAATATTATGTCGCGTGCCATCATTGGCACGTGTGCCATTGGTTCGCCAACCCTGGTCTAGACAAAGTGCAAATTATAATCGCAAACCAGTCGAAAAGTGGTCGAAAAGCCCCTTTTTTGTATGGAGTTTTGACGGATTCGATTTTCGATTCGATCAATAAGTGCGTTTTGTCTAAGGGGGCAGGTCTAGCGCGTAACTGTCAGTGCTTGAGGTAAAGATGAACTACACTGAAATGTCCCACCGACGACATTGACAGAAGGGCGCCACCATCTTCGTTCAACTACATGTTTTCCACTGTGGCAAAAGTCGGAACTAGCGATCCGCTATTGACGGTGGCCCACCTGTCAGTGTCAAATAAAGGACAGTTCAGTGTAGTTCTTCTCTATGGCAGCGGCACGGGAGGAGACATATGACGTGACACTTGTCGTTGGACTTCTCAAAAACACCCTCCCTTAGCGAAGAAACTCTGTCACCTTTACATTACTAGGCCCCATTCGACCACTTATTCTCTATCCAAGAATAACTTCTGGTATAACTGGCACAATGACAGTTTCAGTATGGGAAATATGTCAAAACTGACAATTTATTCTGAGATTAATATTTACTTTTATTTGGTCGAATCCACCCTAATAGTTATAATTGAACCCCTCGGCGTAAGCTAAAAACTCTTGTTACGTGTGGGTTCACACAACAGTCCAACTAAGACGGGGTTCGAACCCGCCTTCCCGGCCAACCGGGAATAATCTCACCGAAAGTTCCCACCAGCCCCCCGGTAATCACCAGATAGAGTTTAACTCAACTGATTACTCATAAGATCTACTGTCTGGTTTTGCTTTACTGATTGTGCCCCATTAAAGCATTTCTGGAGCCTCGTCATACGCTTATGAAGTTTGACAATTGAACAGTTACAGCCCACATAGTAGGGAATTTAGTGCANGGGTATGACTTATCCCCCCCCCCCAGGCCAGAAACTGGGTATTAGCATCATATTATGTATTATTATGTTCAATACAAACAATCATTAAGTTACACTCACCCTAACCGCGTCTCCGCATTGCCACAAAATATAACAAAAGGTAAACTCACGTATGTACCTCTCAGCGCTCGGCCGTCGCGCTAGGGTTGTCTTGTCATGTGTCGCGTTTATTTCGTTATGATAGAAAAATGTAACTCTTAATACTATAGAAGTAAGACAATAACAGATATCCACGTATAATTATGTAGTTATGTTTAGTACGTTATTATTATAGTAATAGTTTGCAAACAAATACACGAGAAGGAAGTAGTATCACGTAGTATGTTTGGGTGGTTGACACTATTATCCAATAATTCCTAAAACCTCTTTTAAAACACTTCGATATTCCTAATAATTGAGTTAGCTTTCAATTTGTCAACGTTAAACGAACTATTGAAATACAAATAAATACCTTACTTACCTCCCGGAATCAACTGGTAGTTTAAAAATCGAAAATGTAGTTTTTAATGTTTAGTGTAAGCAACCATCTACTTAACAAATGTTATAATACCCCTTTTTTCTTGTTCACTAATTTTCGCACAGAAAAAGCGCGGGAAACGTTAAACTGGTCGGGCGCGTTTTTGTTTCTCTTAGCTTTAAAATTAAAATTTATCTGTTGTAGTGATCAGAAGAGGTGTAATTAGTGTTTATATTTACTTGATTATTTATATATTGTGTAGTTAGTGTATAATTGCTGTATATTGGTAAGTCTTTAAAACTATTTAGTCGTCAAGATGAACGAGCCGCCTGACCCGGGGGAGGCTCCCCCGNGAACCAAATAGTATGAATTCATGGATAAAATAAATATTTTTTTCCGATGCGCAATAAAATTCGCCCGCTGTGTCCTGAAGAAAAATTTTTTTTTCACCTACTTTTTGCGAGAAAAGTACCATACAATGTTATATTTTTATAATCCTGATAAATGTAGCTTTCAGGTCATATTTTTTTTATTAGATTATCTCCAGTGGTTTAAAAGTAAACGACGTTTATTTAAAAAATCACTTTTTGGTTTTTGTGAAGTTTACTCAATATTTCAATTTTTTTGTATAAAAAGGCAAAAAGTTTGTTCTAGAAATGAATTCGCCATCCTTTAATTATCCGAAAATGATACCACACTTGCCCTAATACCCATAGTTTTGAAGATATGGGCCTTAAAGTGAAGCGCGGCGGAAGGAAACTTGCCCCCCCTCCCCCTGCTACCACAGGGGGGGCTCCCGATGTCTACCGACGGAAATCCACTCAGGAGCACCCAAAGAACCACTGTTGCAAAAATGAGCCTTCTATACCAAAGTGGAGGGGTTCTTGCACTAAATTCCCTACTAACAATATTAACGGTGCCTAGTATAAAGTAGCATAATTTTTACGCGTATTTGCCCGTACCGCATATGTGTGCGGGGCCATACTAAAATTAGACACATCAAGTATAAAACAAACATAGTATCTATAGCAATTTGCCTTACAAATCATAAGTGTATCAAATATCAAATTTAAAGTTACTGAAACCGAGTAACCTAACCCTCTTAACGCGGAGGCTTCATCAATTAAGCCACACACATCTTTCGGCGATAATTCGCTATGGAATTAAATTGACTGCCCGAATAAGCTTTAGTCATTGTGTAAGAAGAGAGATGAAATAAAATCTTCCAAATCACTATTTCAGCACAAGGCAAGCTTCTATTGGAAGATCACCTTTTCATTCTTAATTGCTTTCGATTAAACAGATCTTTTTGACTTTCATTTGACCGTCTCACTTGGGCGGCGCCGAACGGTGTGGGTATAATTTTTACGCGTATTTGCCCGTACCGCATATGTGTGCGGGGCCATACTAAAATTAGACACATCAAGTATAAAACAAACATAGTATCTATAGCAATTTGCCTTACAAATCATAAGTGTATCAAATATCAAATTTAAAGTTACTGAAACCGAGTAACCTAACCCTCTTAACGCGGAGGCTTCATCAATTAAGCCACACACATCTTTCGGCGATAATTCGCTATGGAATTAAATTGACTGCCCGAATAAGCTTTAGTCATTGTGTAAGAAGAGAGATGAAATAAAATCTTCCAAATCACTATTTCAGCACAAGGCAAGCTTCTATTGGAAGATCACCTTTTCATTCTTAATTGCTTTCGATTAAACAGATCTTTTTGACTTTCATTTGACCGTCTCACTTGGGCGGCGCCGAACGGTGTGGGTCATTCGTTATACCTGGAGCTAATCAATATCTTTAATAATACGGCCTCTATGGGTTGGATTTGTATCCCCACGCAAGTCTTATAAAGGACCGGGACACTTTTGACCCGTGAGCTCCAAAGCGTACAAATAATAATAAAATCTTTATTTGGCACGAGCGAGCCAAGCAATGGCAATTACAAGTGTAAAAAGAAGAAAAAAAAGAACAGTAAATATAATAATCCAGCCGGGCCAGCATAATCCCGAGCCAAAAAGGCGCCCGCTCAGCGATACTCGGGACATAAGTTAAATGTCCCGACGTTGATTTTCAGCGAGTACTCTTCCCTAGGCCTCGGCTGTTGGGACCCAAGCCGCGTCCGCCAAACATAATTTTGGTCATTGTGGAAATCAGCAGCTAAACGACGATAGCCGTACGCGTACGGTGAAAGGACTAGTCGCCTCGAGATCCGAGGAACGCTGGTACAAACTCTACCGCCGCACGACTATTATGGGGGAGTGAACCCACTCGTAACAAAGCGAGGGGTTAACGGGAATAATTACCAAAAAATATTCTTAAAAAAATCTCTGGGTGTGAGATACTTGCTCAGCACTCAGCAGTAAGTTGATACGAAACAATAAATTGTAGAGTCATGTAGCATATTAAATTAACTCGTAATTTACTTTTAAACCCTGTCCAAAGCCAGGTATTGCTACCATGGCAGTAATTAATCTCTTCTATATTATGCAAGTCAGCAGATTCAAAGCAAACCATTCATTCGCTTTTGTTGCTTAAACAAATCACTAAACGATCGCACAGCCAGTGAATCATTGAACTCGTCTAAGTGAGGTCCCAGGTAGGTTGAACAGTAGTCGCAGTGTACAGCGCTGATTATTCTAGAGCAAGTAAGTAGTTAGCGAGCGCCGGAAATCGGCCCCAGAACCCAGCAATTTGCCGATTGCGGGACAAACTGGATAATCTGCCAAGATTGCACCCCGCGTGCTCACGTCTTGTCGCGCTCGTCTTGGGACAGACGCTCTTAATGGATAAATTGGCTTGCAACACATTTGCATCTGAACTACGCACAGCTGGTAGCGACAACAAATAAACATATCCAAATAAAAACAAAGCTCACGAACCCGCAACGACTCTGGTGTAGAAAGCAGAACACAGCACAACGGCCAAGCATTCGCCAGCTTACTAGTAAACAATCTTAAAGAGGATCACAAACTCGCATGACGCAAATGATCAATGAACAGAGCTTTTCAGAGAAATAAATTTATCCAGCAACCATGGAAAATTATTTTTAATTTACTTTTGATTGGTTGAAGTATTTTCAAATTATAAATTGAATTAATTTCCCTTTCGTCGAACCAATATTAATTCGTGTATGTCCAAAATAGCAATGCAAAAACATAGCCGTACAGCGAGGCAGTAATAAATCGTCAAATGAAGTAGCACCTACTTGCGTAACAGTCACACATATTTTGCGTCACTGTCAACACATATTTTGCGTTCGCGTGAAAATTTATTGATGTATTCTGGTACGATAAAGCCCCCGTGTTTTGCAACCCGCCATGCTTCAAATGCATGTCTAGGTACGAGTATGAGTACTAATTCGCGAGCTCGAATACTAAGTTCGTTTCAACATGAAGCTTTTAACTTTGCTAGCGCTTATCTAGATATTAGCATAGCGTTGTGTAAGCACAATACATACAGTACATTGTCGCAGTTATATACCTCTTACAGTAGGACAGATAGCTTAGGAACTAGGAAATAATACAAGTTTTTGTGCTAGGAAAAAAATATTGTAATAATAATGTGAGCTGTAACTACTTTGGAGTCAACTTCATCTGACTTGCATATGACATATTATTTGTTATTCCTTACATCATGTATAACATAAGACTATTCTTTATTTGTCAAACGGTTGACTAGTAGAGAACGCTTACAGGTATTGGAACCGCCATTTGTACACTATGAAATGAAAATAAAGGAGTTTATTTACTCTAAGGTTTAAATAAGGTTTGCAAATATCTTCAATGTACACCAGACAAAACTGGCAGCGTAACAGCACATATCAGGCGGTCTTATGTCTACGAAGGGATCTTTTCCAGCCAACAACCGCCTCTGTGGTCTAGTGGTAAGACCACCTGCTTCAGACGCAGAGGTCCCGGGTTCGATTCCCAGTGGGGGCAGATTTTTCTGTTCGGTTTGGTTGGTGGTAGGGCTTGTTCTAAGTCCGCCTGGATAGCTACCACCATCTTACCTAAGTCTGTCGCCATAACAACAATGTTAACAGCATTATTGTGTTTCGGCAGCTAGAGGTAAGATAGCCAGTTCCTTCGTGGTTGAGGATTCCGGGTGAAGCTCGCTTCCACCTTCGGCCTGATCGTCACTTACCATCAGGTGAGATACAGGCCAAGAGCTTCCTCGTTGTGGATAAAAAAACAACTGACCTGAAGCTGATCGCGAAAGATCCCTGTTCCTTCTCGCTGGGGCGCACGAGGAAGGCGCCGTCGCTTTTGGCCCGGCGTAGGAGCTCCTCGGCCTGTGTGCGGGACACCGTCGGGTGCCACCAGTCCATGCCCTCGTGCTTGTTGGGCTGCGGCACCGGCTCCTTCAGCGTGATCAGGAACTCCTGGAAGGCATCTTCGTCTTGAACCTGAACGACAGTACACAGCGTCAAGCCACCATACCCTGTTAGTGTGTTAGTGCGCAAGCACGAGTTGCGTGTTAGTCACATTCACAATACATCATTCAGTGACAGAGGTGCTGTTCCGAAGTGACCTGCAGATAGCACGTGCACGAAGCGTGTAGCTCCGGAATAGCACCCTAAGGGCCAGTCACACGTTCTTGATACATATTCAAATCAAAATAACGTTAGCAGGTCATCATTGATTCCTGGGTAAATAAGATATAGTAGTTTATATGAAAGACATTGAAAGTTCCTAATAAAATATTAGGGACTATATCAGCACGTAGCGAAACTGGCCCTAAATGAGGATAGAATTTAGTTTTTAGTTAACAATTTATATAGTTATTAGTTTGTAACAGAAATTTTCAAAACAGTGCGGTCAACACATATTAACTATTGTAATTTAAACGTACGTTCAAATGATAGTTCGGACCAATTTATTTTATCTGGATACGAATGTTGCGAATAATGTTTACGAAATAAATGGGAATACGTAAGCATCAATGCGCAACAAAGTATACTTGTTTGCTATCGGCGATCTTCATGAATTAACATGACTGTGTTGATCTAGTCTAGAATATACGTACATTCTTTGATTTTCTAAGCACCTATTGTCATGTTTTGTATTGATCCCGGCCTGATTTTCAGATAAGCGTGCAGTGGAATGCAAATGAAACTGTCGATAGCAATGCATTGTTGCTTGCTTTTTCCTCGAATCTATGGTAATGTTGACCTTGGCAATGAGAAGTAACATCTCAATAGGATTGTGGTATTACACTAACATTAGAATTGAGTTTCTTGGGTTGACTTTCAGGGTTAACACCTACCTTTCGCTCCCACCACTGTATCTCCTGTTTGTCCAAGATTCCTGCCAATAAACCTGACCAAAGAAGGTTGGCTAGTCCTGACATAGGTATTTTAAACTGCTTAACTTTATACCTCATAAAGAATCTTCTTGTCGACAACAAACCTATACAGTGTCAGCCCAAAACTCCGCTACAAGGGAGGCGTTGTCAGCAGCATTCATTAAATCTTCCTGTGTGCAGTTGTTTGGGCACGCAGGGCACGACATCAGATGCTTCATCGACCGGGGAACACAACCACACTTACACTCCAAGTTTGAGCCATCCAAGAATCCCCATCAAAACAGATTGTCCTTACTACGGCCAACCTGCGTCCGAAGTCTATTTAAAGATTTCCAGGTAAGCCAGGGGAGCTCATGTCCAGGTCCTCTCAGACATACGAGACTAAAGGGCGGGGAAGGTCAGCTGCATCTCTCTTTTGACCGATCGTCATCAAGAAAGAAAAAGTATTTAAAATCAACTGCATTCCGTTGCAAAAGTGCGTGACGTTTCAAAGACAGTGATTCAAAGAGAGTAATTGTGATTATTTAAGTTAAGGAGTGTATTATGAAAAATCGCCTTTAAGAAAAGTCCACATACAAAGTTACCTAACTGGGAATCGAATCGAGAGTAATTGTATTAGGTCTTAAATTTTAATATTCGATAGGTATTCGTTTGTGATTGATTAGTGTGAACTAGTCATCGCTTCACTCGACCATATTAGAGAATGTTTAGGGAATGTGATTTTAACAACAACTAACATATAGGTGCTGTCATAATTATAGGTTGTCACGGCATGCAACAGTAGGATTTTGCGCTTAAATGAAGGTTGCTTATCCCGAAAGACATCCAGATGAAGATTGTATCACATTACATTAAAGCGGATATTTTTAATTCAACAAACACTGCCTTCTAATTTAGTTCCAGCAAAGATGAAGTCCCTAATGTGTTGCCCAAGATTAAAATTAAGGTTAGTAGGTGTGAGACAGGTCAGTGAGCACAGATGCAAAGCCTTCACCCACTAATAAACAAACCATCTGACCTGACTCCGCAGCGGATTCTGGCGGTAATGCGTGATGAGACTGTACAGGCTGTCGAAGCAGACGGACTCGATGAGGTAGTACTTGACGAGGCCGCGGTCGTGGCGCAGCTTGATGCGGCAGTGGTTCACCTTGCCCTGGCGCCAGAAGGACAGGCAGTAGTCACCGACGAAGGTGACGCTTTCGCGCACTAAGAAGGTGCCGTCGCCCAGCGCGGCGTGCGCTCGCAGCAAAGCCTCGGCCTCCTCGCGGTTGCCCGCCAGCCGCCCGTGGAACCAGCGCTCGCCGAAGTGCAGCTCGTCCTGCGGAACGGTCACGCTCCGCACGGCCTCCGCCTCGCCGTCGCTGTCCAGGTCGGTGTCGGCCTGCGTGCTGTAGTGCTGCGTGTAGTACAGCTTGTTCTCCGTCAGCACGAACGCGTGCGGGTTCCAGTCCTTGTCCACCGGGTCCTCCAGCAGCAGGATGCCGTTCTTGATGGTGTTGCGCAGGTCCAGGTCCTTGCCGTCGTCCTGGTGCACCGGCAGCGCGCTCTCCTCGGCGCCCTCGGGCAGCTTCTTGTGCTTGAGCAGGATCTTGCGGCGCAGGTCGTGCGGCGAGGGCAGACGCGTCTCGTTTCGGTCGTGCGGCGCCACCAGCAGCATGCTGCCGAACACCTCCTTGAAGGCCAGCGCCATCTTCCTCTGCTGCGGCAGCGAGCAGTTGTCCTCGATGGACAGCACGAGCGGGTAGTCCGACGTGACGAACGCGTGCTCCTTGATGGTGCGCAGCACGTCCATGAAGCGGATCTTGGTGGTGAGCGTGTGGCCGTGGTAGATGAACGGCATGCCGTCGGGCCCGTCCCAGCAGTCCAGCTCGATGCAGCGGCAACCCGCTCGCAGGCAGCGGACGTACGCTTCGAGCGACGACACACTCGAGAACTGGTCGCCGGTCAGGTATCTGAATACAAAAAATCATATAGCGCCGTTTCGTATGTATTGATCCTACTACCGAGAAATAATTAGCGAGAAAATCATTTGATCCCATTTCTTTGTCCTCGCAACAAAACAATAGGCGTTGACGTACCTAGAACTGTGGAGACGCGTAGGCGAGACATCCTGTCGGGAAAAATCCAAAGACAAAGGATCCCGCTAATTGGGTTTTCTATGAATATGAAAATAATACTGGAATAATGTGCTGACATCCTGTCGGGAAAAATCCAAAGACAAAAGACAAAGGATCCCGCTAATTAGGTTTTCTATAAATATGAAAATAACAGTGGAAAAATGTGCTGAAACACAATATCTTGAGTGGGTGTTGTGTCCTTAAAGGATATCTATTTTGATAAACGCGTCAACAGATAACAAAGGAAAATTTTCCAGAACTTTTCTTAAGCATTAAGACACTATATGAGCGCTTATACCTTTACCTATGACTGCTGATAATGATGTAGATGGATGGGGTGACTTTACGTTTTGTGGGGTGACTACGTTTTGTGGGGTGACTTTACGTTTAGTGGGGTGACTTTACCTGTTAAAACTGTAAGACCAAATCATGTTGCTTTGTAATATGTTTTCACACATGTTTATGTAAATAAATATCTTTACGTTTTGTGGGGCGACTTACGTGTTGTGCGACGACGAGATCCAGTAGTGCGAGAGAGGCTGCGTCATGTCCTGGGTGACGCGGTCGTGCGCGCTGTCCAAAATGGTGTTCTGCTTCGAGAACAGCATCTCGATGAACTGCACAACCAAACATACCACTTTAAATAACGTAACATTGACTCAGCCAAAATATAATCAATCATGACGTATTGTTCTCGATAGCAATAAGTAATTTTCGAACTCCTCCTATGTTCTTCTGATTAATTTCGTTGCGGGTCCGATGACAGTTTACCTTTCCCTCGGGACAAACTTGACCTTCATTGGTTGGGTTTTTGTGGCGGTCAAGCTGTAGATCCTGACTACACAGGAGTTGCAGTGGTGGGAACGAGAGGTGGGAATAGTCCCGATAGCAATAAGTAAGATAATCGATTTGAGTATGGCTTAGACAGTTCTTCTTCGGCATTTAGAGTTTGGAATTTGAAATGATAAAATCAAATTCTCATAGAGCTTAATACCCCAAAGTATTAATATACATTGGAGCTTAAGAAATTACTTTGACTATTGGAATTTGTGATTTTGCCTACGACAAAAGCTCTACGTGTTGTAGCATAATAATATATCGCGACACAAACTTGAAAAGGATTTTCCATTTCACTAGACGCTCAAATATTTATATCAAGAAGCTGAAAATGTGAATACAAAGGACGCCCTTAGCGCGTCCTGTCATTGTGGCGCCTTTGAAAATCTAGTCTATGAGAAATTTCCATTGGGTTAATATTAATATTCAGAATGTTAAATGAGTCGAAAAATCATGTTCAACGCTAATCCAGAGTGACTGGTTAGAATATGCATTTTCACCCTAATCCAAGTTGAGTTGGGGGAAAACACTTACCTCTTCCAACTTGAAGTAGGGCTCGGAGATGTCCCTCTGCGGGTCCCGTAGGTAGTTGCGAATGAACTGCGAGGACCCCTGGTGGTCGTCGCCCAGCGGGTCTTGCTGCTCGACGAGCAAGAATCTTTTGAAGTTTTTCAAAGTGACGATATCCTTGTTCTCTCTACAGTAATCCATGTGCTGATCGAATATCTCGTTCACATTCTGTTGGGGGAAAAGAAAAATTGCATGAGTTTTGTAGCTTAGAATCTACTACAGTTTCTTTCAATAAACTAGCTTTGGCATGCCTATTTTACGTGAAGAATTAAAAAAGGTTTAATAAAAATACACTATATTTCTTCTAGTAAGAAAATTTATTGTAATTCTGACCAATTCGTTCCGCCCAACACTCGCGAAAACTAGCACCACCCCACACCAACCGAACTATCGTGCCCGGCCGCTTCTCTCCCCAAACCTGCTAGGTTACCGTCCCCTAGCAACGCCCTAGGCCGAGGAGCCTCATTCGGGAGCGCCCTTAGGCTCGTTGCTTACATTTTGAGGTTGAGAGCGCTCACCGATTGTCCGGTGAATCTGAGGAAACCCCTCACGCCTATCAACAGTCCATCCGAAAAAAAATCAGACCAATTCGCCTGAACAAACGGTCTCTTATAACTGCTCGTGGAACATTCTAACGTTACGTACTCAGTAAAAAAAACTCAGTAAAACTCATTTATTTCTGTAAATAGGCTTAAAAAGCACTTTTACACGTCCCAGTATTAACCCTACCACTGCTTCAGGACAATAAATAAATGGGCCAGTGCTGAGAAGAAGCAGCGCAAGAAACTCAGTCACTATTGTCAGCCTCTTTTTCAAAGGTTTACAGGCTTTCAAATGTACAAAGTTATAAATATTTATGCAAGTAATGCATCCCAAACATTTTTATTTTTTAAATAATCATCGACTTTATAGTAGCCCTTTTTCATTAAGGTACTTTACTACTACGTTCATGTTACTACATGCACATTGAAATGTATCAAGAACCATTAAACAAAGATTTCTGATAATATCACGTCGATAAAGTAATAGTAATATGTATTAAGATGCCAATAGACTTACGCTCTTGTCGAATATTAGTTTGTGGTACAAAAGTGCGAAATCGTCGAATCCTATTTCGCCTTTCTTCGCCGTGTCGACTTCTTGAAATATGTCTCGGAGTTTGCTGGTGGATATCTTACAATTGATTTTTGGCAGGAATGCCTTGACTTCCTTGAGGGAAACCCTAAAAGAAAACAGTCGTTTTAAAGAAGTGTCTTTTAAGGTATTATTAGCTTTATTAATTAATAACAGTGCACCTAAATTTCAATGCATACCTACATTATTTTTCTAGGTTTAGCCTAGGCGCAGACCACCGACTTTTAGTTGGTCAAATCAAATCAAATCAAATCAAATTTCTTTATTTGCGTAATTCCATAGGTCGATAGTTGGGCCCGATTCTAATTTGTAAGGTATGAAGAATCGGCCGATACCAAATCGGCGCACTTTAATATATCTCGATACTAATCAACAGCCCGACCCAACTATCGGCCAACTAAAAATCGGTGGTCTGCGCCTAGGCTTAGTTTCTGTTTTTATTATTATATTTGGTCAGAAACCGTTAAATGAAAGTAAATAAATAAAATTCCGCCCTCCTCAGACACCAATAAACATGTAACATAACTTTCAATAATCAATGTGTCCAGCTGAATGTTAGTCTGAAGGTTACGGAATATTTTCGCGTGGACTTGATGTATAATTCATTACTTACTTTTCGTGTGAGTTCTCGATTATATAGAACTCTTTCCTCAACCAACGTTCTATTTGCAGCGGGTAGGGCACGGTGTTGGCTTCCTCCACGAGGAACCGCACGCCTTTGACCCACGCGTCGCACTCTTTGTCTGTTGGTGCTGCAGCAATGATATTTGATTTCAGAAAGAGCTTTCATACTGGCAATATAAGAATGACTATCCATCCGTAAAATATGTACCCATTATCATGTATAAATAACCCATTTGTTGAACGACTTGTCGTGCAGGGGAAGGTTGAGGGCACAAGAGCGCGCGGCAGGTCGCCGTGCGCTGGACTGACCAGGTCAAAACCACACTCCTCAATGGTCCACTCCACGAGTGCACAAGAAAGGCTGCAGTGCGGGAGGAATGGCGATGGGTTGTGAGGCTTGTCACCGGACCGGGTGTGACGACCACAACACTAACACTCTGGCAAGAGTGTAGCGACGAAGAAGAAGAAGAAGACAACCCATTATTATAACTACGTTGTCAAATGCTAAATCCATTTATTGGAGAGTTAAGTTTAAGTTTCTCAAAAAGCTTAAAATATACCTTTAAGACTTGACAGTATTGAACCATTGATTGTCCATTGAGAATGCATAGATCAAATCTTCCTATATAAAATTATTATACATAATTGAACAGACTCAATACTTTTTACATAAATTAAGCATTACATTCTGTAGACTCAGTGCACGTCACAAGGACACATTTCGTACCGCATATCAAGAAATGTTAATTATTTATTAATTTTAGAGTAACTTACACCCTTGGCTTTTTTTCCAAGTACAGTTGATGGCACATCGGACTCTACATTTTTGTTGCAAGACACATTACAATTGGTTAATAAGACAGTGATTACCTTGATGTGCTATCGTCTGTATTTTATATCTATATATATAAAAGAAAGTCGTGTTAGTTACTCCACTTATAACTCAAGAACGGCTGAACCGATTTAGCTGAAAATTGTCAGGGAGGTAGTTTAGAGCCAGGAGAAGGACATAGGATACTTTTTATCCCGTTTGAAATTAAAAAAAAAGTCTGCTTATTTATTGCCATTAAGGCGGAACAAAGTTCGCCGGGTCAGCTAGTTATAGTCTAAATCAACATAACCTGTGCTAACTAGCAGTGAAATTAAGGCAAATGTGTTACTTATTTGGTTTGATTATGTTTTATGAATGTTGCAGTTTATTTCCATAATAAATAATGTGGATAAAAATGTCTTATTGTAGTATTGAACTTTTTTTTTATGTAGGTAGGTACATAATTTTATACCATAATGTTTGAGCAATTGAGTTTTAACAAACATAAAGGAGGATGACTTAAAAAGGGCTTCCGTCCCATGAATGGAGTAAGCATGTGCAGAAACAGAATGGAAGTAGGTACAAGGTTCAAGTTTTCTATCTAAATAACATGAGGCTTCCATCAAGTTCCAAGCTAATTTTAATTCACCTTATTTCAAATCGTAATACTTGTGAATATGAGTAATAAAAGTATTTTCTACCACATTTAACAAATACACAATCTTAATAATTTTAAGATATGTTTAAAAATACCCTTATGTAATAGGTTTAGGATTACGTTAATGACAAGGATGCACGGTCAGTTCATTATATGGCCACTAGTGGTGACGGAGTTTGTTCCAGCATTTCTTCTCAGCAGTTGCCATATGTAAAGAGCCCCTTAAGGGCTAACCTTCAATACGACTACATCAATAATTGTAGTTAGGGATAAAATTAATTCTGGATGCTGCTAAGACATCAATTATTGAGGCCTTTAGTTTTTTGTGATAGCCTCAAGCCTTGTAGCATCAGTTGCGTACTACTTTTTTTTTAAATGGTTTAAATGTTTGTATGTGAACAAGGGAAATAACACAAGTCATTTAAAATTAAATTAATAAATGTTACAGTCTTTCTCACTCATATAAGGCAATTCAGTAGGTACATTTATTTTTGAGCGTAGAAAGCCACCTATTGTAGTTTGAAATTGTCATACACAGTCAGAGGATACAAAGCAGTACTCTGTAGTCTGTACCAATTCTGAGAAAAATAAATCAGAGTGGGAGGCTAGCCAATACACCTGTGTTCTTTTAGCAAGGACAAATTGCTAGAAATCAATACTTCATCTGCCCACACAATGCCCTATGTATACTGCAATTTCTCATCTATGTAAACATACAAACAGCCGAGTATGATTTAGAGTTACATGGGTGTAAAAATAGGAATGTTTACCAAATATAAGAACTTACCAGCGAACGACGCCGAGTGGAGTTTGAATTCCGTTCCAAAATAAATCGTGAAGCATTTGGAGTTCTCCAGCCGCTTGGTCTCCTCAGGCCACCGCTCGAAGACTTTGGAATTCTTCCCCTGGCGCACTTCTTTTACATATTTGATGTCCAGAAAGAAATCGTACATGTGCCTCGAGTTATTTCCTGGCCGCAGCCAGATGACCTGGTGCGTCTCTCGTTGAACCAGCAAAGTCCCTCGTTCAGGTCTTTTGCGAGGGAAGAACTTGAACACTGCCGTCCCCCTTTCGATGTACGATATAAGTTGTTCTGCTTCATCTATGAGCCTATCTCTCGCTCCATTGTAGCCGCTCGGCCTCATTGTACTTCCGTTTGAACAACCCAACGTGACAAAATATGCCTTTATGCAGGCCACACGAAAACAAGAAGAAGCTGCATGAGAGTCTAAGCAAAACCTATGTAAACGAAATAATTCGGACTCGCGACTTGTTGCTGCACGGACTGAGGATCTGTCTGTCTGACATTTCCGACTCAAATGAACGAAATGACAAAATGCGGTCTGCGCTGAGGACTGAGGAGGGAGGTCGCCTTTTTATAGGAGTGGGAGTGAGTGAGATACTGAGCGGCTGAGCCATTCATTCATCCGTTGTTTTTGTATGGTGAATGAAGGAAAGATTGATACCAACCTAACAAATAAAAGTTTTAGTGAAAATACATTCTACAATCATGTGATATTTGTTACCTTGTCACTGTTTTGTCACAGTGATATCTACTGCATACATTACATTACACTATTTATTTCGCCCACACGGTCGGCCCTACGTCCAAGACTGAAAGCGGAATTATGCTTTTTGAAGTAGGTTTATTAGGAATGGAAATTGAAATAAAGAGAATAGTTTTCTCTGTCTACGGTTTATTTGAAGTTTTTGTAAAAACTGACTTCATTACTTCATTGTCTTCATTCAACAAGTCTTGAATAAATTGAATTTATAGGAGGGTATTTCGCCAAAAATGGTCGATTTTGCCTAATTTCCTTGGCACGAAATTTTTTTTTGTTTTTAACTATTTTTATTTTCCCATTGCATTAAGAAGCAAAAACTAAGCCAATGTATCTAAAAGGGGTGTCATAATTCGTTTTAGAAACAAAGTTATGAGGTCATGAATTTTTGGTAGCCAAGGAAATTATTATAAATATTGTTTTCTCTAAGTTTTCCTATGTGGTTTGCTTTTTTTTAATTCGACCCATTTTAGTGTACCTTCGCAAGCAAACATACCAATGAATATTAATATCATTATAACGTTTTCACACAACTAAGGAAGATAAATGCAGTAGATTGAGTTAAGAGTTAAAAACAAGTTGTGCTATATCTATTCTGATACCCATTTCTTAAAATGTAAATTTTAAACTTATTCCAATAAAGAAATACTAAAAATTTGACTTTACGCCTAATTAAAAAGGGTCTTTTATAATTTCCTAGGCCATTTTAAGCCACGGAAAACAAGGAAATTAGGGCCAAAGAAATTAGATTTATGCCTAAAAGACACCACAAACAAAAACCTATTTACCCTATCCATTTACTATTTAAATTATGGGTTAACCCCTACAGACACTACATTTGTGTAAATAAACATTAAAATTAATCCATTGTTTAGCTGCAAAAAACTGCCCAAAGAAATTGACTTTTTAGTAAACAAAAACCCAAGGAGGGACCTACTTACGCGATTTGTCGCGAAACTGATCAACGATGTACTGTCCTGCCTTGATGGTATCTTGGGACGAAATGGCCGAGTTGTAACGGTGCAGTGCGTTACATTCTAAGTTTTTTCATTTCGTTACTACAATGGTCGAAAAGAAGACCCAGGGAAATTATACTTTTGACCTGGACAAGAACTTAACTTCACTTTATTTTCTTCCTATAAGTATTTGACACTTAAAGTTTTTATTTTTCGATAGCCAAACGTTTCTCAAATGTAAAGAGAGTGCTACTAGAATTAAATTACGCTTCAATTTGTTATAATGTGCCTTCATTTTGGCAAACAACAGTAATGGACAAAACAAGGAAATTAGAAAAACGACTTTTGATTAAGTTTTTCTACGGTTTTATTTGTAGTTTCTGCTATTGTAATAGCAAAAACAAATAAAACTTTTAATGAACTTTCCCATAAAAATAGTTTTATACAGATAAATATAAAAAAACATGTGTTCGCCAGCCTGGACACAGAAAATTTACTGTTTCGGCGAAATACCCAGGAGCGCCATCTGGCGGGACGTCTACTGATATTTTTTCCCAATGCCTTTTGCCTTCTTCTCTTTCTTAGAACCAATAGAACTTAGAAATGATCTAACATTATTAATTAGCGTTCATTACGTTTTAGTGCTCACTTTAAATTTGTGTACCTACAAAAATTCTTAGATTTTTTGGATATGTAAATTATTAGGTTTTTACCTACACACTTATTAATAAAGCCTACACAAATAGTAAAATCAATCTCCTATGATTTATAGACCTTTCTTAGATGGGGCCCCCAACAAATTTTCATACAGGGCCCGTATGGCACGCTACGCCACTGGCTAATGGCCCTAACTCTTACTAAAATACCGCTTCTCATCCTATCTCCTCCTAAGAAAATGTTGTTCAATATAATAGGTGCTTAGTTTAGTAATGGGGAAGAGGTTAAATAAAAACGAACAATTTAATTTTTAATTTTATTAGACAAAAATTTTACATATACTTATCAAGTAATATATTTCCACCTTAATATTGGTGGTACATCAGTGACCATTGCTACATAGGTCGGAATTTGGAATCACCAGCGGCAACCACTGCTCGCCATTTTATTTGATAAACCAGTTATTACATTAGAAATAAATATAAAATAAAGTTACTCTTAACTAAAAACGTTATTAGTCAATAGGGTAACATGGAATTACCAAATAGACAATGCTGGCCTTCTGGGCCAAACTAAGACCTGCGCGGATCGGCGCGTGTTCACACCGAGCGGTCGTAGTCGACTTCTTGTATCGCTTGTGATCTACGAAGGTTATTGTAGCTTATGAACCACCAAAACTGCCACGTTTCATAATTAAAAGGAAAGGTGTGAATACGCCCTTACATTTTTATACTCGTAAGTTCTTCTGACTTTTTCTTCAAAACAATGATGATGTGTTTATGAATGCATGTAGAAATTACACATAACTAAAACTGATATAGGGTAAACCGTATAGCTATTGCCCACTTAAAGATTTCAAACACTTTGACATGCAAAATTAAAGAAAGTATTTTAATTGTCGACCATTTATAACTTTTTTCTTATAACCCAATAAACTGTTAAACAGAATATTAACAGTTTTTAGTTAAAACTTACATAACTTAGAAAATATTGAAATAAATTTAAAATCCTCCAAAAAGTACAGTCATTGCCCACTACTTACACTAATTGCCCACATCAAAGCACAGTAATTGCCCATTATCTTAAAACAAAATAATCAATTTTAAAAGGACAAAATAGGCTTTAAATAAACAAAACAAAACATTAAACTTAAATTCTAGTAGTACAGTCTTCAAAATTTCAAAATAAATTACCTTTTGCTTTATTAACTATATTATCAAATATTTCTTGAGCTGATGTTGATGAGTCAGAATCAGTAGAGACAGAATCATTTACTTCAAAATAAAGATGACACAAAAATGAAAATTTTATATGTATTTATTTTTTTATCTTCTTTGATATCACAGTTCAAGTGTTTGCTCAGAATGTTCAATTAGCTGTTGGTTATTCTTCCCAAAAGTTGTAACTAATTCCTTACAAATAACTTTTTCACTAGTAGATTTAACGTAGGATTTTCATTTTTTGTATTTGCGTTTGAATTTTTATCAATTTTTTCAAGCCAAACCATATTTTTCCTCAATTTATCTTTTAAATAAATTGTTGAATACATTTGTACAGCTTCGATTGCTTTTTGGAAATTTTCTTTGCTATATTGAACTTTTGGTGTCTTTGGCATACTGGAAATGAAACATTAAATGCCATTTCAATACTTATGCCTGTAAATTGCAAAACAAGTCTAGCAATGAGCAATTTAAACACTGCTACTGCATGGTGGCAACACTCTAATAATAATTGCCATGGGCAATAACTATACATTAACATATGGCAATAACTGAAATGATGGTTGGCAATAACTAAAAATATGCAGATTTACGTACAGTTATTACCCACCGTTAAAATGACCGTTAGAAATCAAATTTTATCAGATATTTTCATTGATAATGGAGAAAACACATATAATTTCATCATGACTATACACCATTAGTTGAATATTAAATAACTTACAAAAAAGAATTTACCTCTAAGCAAGTAATTCCTTAATAAAATTGTTAAAGTCTTAACCTGTTTGAGTAACATTTTCACCCGTCTTGACAAAATCTGCCATAACTGTTTTTTTTTTAGTGTTTCCTATTGTACATTTTAAATCTACTGTACATTGATCTCGGAGCCATCTACTTAGTAAATTCAAATCTAACTAGAGTGATTCAAAGTCAGCACCTGACAATATTATTCTTAAAGCGGGCAATCACTAACAGTGGGCAATCACTCTCTGGTTTACCCTACTATCAAAATAAATATAGACACTTTTATTGTAAAAAAATAAACTCAAGACATTTCTTATGAACTTGCCCGTGTAAATAAACATTGAAAAATACGCTTGAAAGATTATAAATAAACATAATGATCAACTTAAAATATGTTAACAGGTAACTATAGTTATTTTAATATATTGCAAGATTGCAGAAACTTACGTAATTACTTAACAGCAAATTAAAGGATACCGATTTTACAATTTGCAAATAATTGTAAAGGCTTCGTGGACAAATATCGTAAACAAATCAACTATATTGTTAAAGACCTGACCTATAAGGGCCCAGTTTAACATAAACAATTAAAACATGTAATTGGCAAGATAATGTGATTAAACGGAACAATGGTAGGTTAGCAGTACATAATTATTATTAACAATTTTGACTTTGACATTCTCGATACATACTAAGTCTAGGCGAAGACCATCGATTTTTCGTCGGCCGATGATCAGTATGGCCATGTATGGAAGTGCACACATTACACCGATTTGATTTAGCCGATTCTTCATACAAATTAAAATTGGGCAAACTATCGGCCAACTAAAAATCGGTGGTCTGCGCCTAGTCTAATAATTCAGATCTACGAGACCAAACCGTAAGGCCCTCGTCACATCGCGCTTCAACCAGAGACTACGCGAAACAATAAGGAGCACCAGGCTAAGTTGATAAAAGTTTGAAAACTTTTCTTTTACGGTATGCTGCAATGCAAACAGCTCCTCTTTCTGTAGACTGTGAGTTGGGTCTCGACTCGGTCTCTTATTTGTCAGAAGCTGAGGCGAGAGCTCTAACGAGGGTTATGTGTTATGTTGATCATCAACTCAATGGTAATCTGCACACCGGCCGAACGCTTTTCTAGTATTCATGGGCAGATATGCTTGCAAATTCAGCCGTAACACGATGGCTCAAGGTGCGAAATCGCAAACATATTTTGCACATCTTTATGATAAATCTTGACACTGCCAATGATAATGTAGTTTCTTTCCAATGATATTCACTCCGGTGGCGCATGTTTGCAGAATGCACAGATAAAGACTGGTTTTGACCGAGAAGAATTAATAAAATAGCGTAACGACTTATCTGCATCAAGATCACAACACAGCTAATGCATCAAATAAGACATGGAATGTTTTGATCTTTGGTTTCAATAAATGTAACTTTTCACGAATGTAAAATGTATTATGTGAGGGAATCGTGTTTTTAATACGTACTATGTACGTGTTGTATTATATTTGTTGTAGGTACTTAAAAATATCAGTATTCAAACCAGTGTCAACATCGTCGTTGCTAATAAATTATACAAACATCGCTGACGACAAGAAGTGATTACAGGTTATGTAATATTTGAAATACATAAAAGTATTAAGATGTTGGCTTTTGTTCGGGTCAAATCGTTCGTAACAGAAAAATAAGTAGACGTGATAATAATATCTTCTCGGTCAAAACATGCTTTTTTCACACCTTGAGCAATGATTCGACATAACAATTTATAACCATAGCAACTGCGTTATTGTGCTGTCAGGAACAAGCATACTTGTAGTCCCAACAAATGCTGATTTTCCCTCAATAGAGTTATGAGCCAAGCGCTTTCTGCCACCCAAACAGTCGCTTGTTCCTGACCGTACTACGTAGTCGTCGGCCATGTTCACAGTTCGCTCGCATTATTTGTGTTAGTTTGGAATGTTTGTGGCTCACAGGCGGTACGATACACTGATGTTGTAACAGACCATAGACAGCATTCACAGTGCTAACCAATCTCTGGGAACAATAGTCCACTAAAGATCTCCATGGCTTATCCATGTAAGTGGCTCTTTTCGTTCGTGTCGTTTGTACAAATTCCAACACTTGTTTATGATGACTATTTAGACTCGAACGAACTTCTCTCAAAAACATAAGTGGGCTAGCACACTAAATTCCGTCCTATCCTCAATCCCACACATGAAAATCATATTATAACATAAATCAATCGAATGAAATAATTTGTTTCAAAAGAACACCCTAGTTACAGCTAGGAATATAACTATATCGGATACTTTCTAACTCCCAAGTTTGCTCAAAACCCAGAGACGGATAAACGGGCAGTAAATTAAAGTTCTTCAACACTCTTGAAGAGATCAGGCCCATCAAACCTTAGCGGAGATCACGTCGCAACGACACTCAAACTGTTGGGAGTTACGACGACGGTATAAAGGTACAATATTAACACAATCAATTACAAGTGTTCCAAATTTGACCACGATCGGATACTGCCGCTTGCGCAACAAACTCAAATGTCCCCGAGTCTACGCCACAAGCGTCCCACGGCGGTATCGGAACCGCCACAAGTAATCATTTACTGGCATGATTCTCTGTGGCAGATGGAAGATAACATGGTGTAACGTTTGTGGAATAGGACCCAGCTACTCTTCGCTGTATTTACTCTGCTACCCTATCCATTACAAAACTCCTCGGGGCTCTTGCCGAATTGTTCCGAGTCCGCTGTTGCATGACGCCGTTCGCAGGCCGACACGTGTGACTTGTGGCTCGAATCCGCAGCCCTGGTCCATAAGCGTGGCGGCTGCGATTAGATGCAACTCACGGGTCGACTCAACCCAGATCCAACGCATCCTCGGTTATCCTATATATTCCTAAAACGCGCAAATAGCGGTTCCCGACCGTGATCATGACACATGTCAGTGCGCCACTGACGTTGTTAATTCTAACGCCTCTTTCTTAGCCCATGATCGTTCTACGAGACAGTAATCGACACGTATTAAAATGAAATGTGACACTGAGGAACAAAGTATACTTATTGAAAACTCATGTTATTACTATTACAGATAAGTAACTTCGGACTGGTGAGCTGGTTACATCGCCACAGTCCTCTTATAGACAACAAATCTTTAGACGCGTGTGCGTACATTATTAAAAAAACATATTCTTGAAGGGCAGCTGCGCGATCCGAAAACAATATCCAAACAAATCACGTTGAGATCTGTTACAGATATTTTGTCTTTGGTTGTTTATGAGTACCGGCAAACAAGTTGCCTCATTTTATTCAGGTTCGCGTGGCCACCCCTTAACTGCTAAGTGAATATAATATTAAACGCATGTTTCGCATGGCTTGCATCAAATTGTCTATGCTAAGGTGAATAATATTGTGTACATCTAGGTGTAATCTTGACTGTCTCAACTGACACCATCTTTCAAACCACAAATGATTAAATTTGGTCATTCCTGACGTAACCGAGACACTGGCGGGGCAACAAGGGGAACTACGGGGAATTACATTTAATCGATTATTAGTAAACCCTGCCTACCCTGACGCCGATTAAATTGACAGCACAGATGAGATCAGTCACTTTCACCGACGTCACAGGAAGGCGGGCGGCAAACGATACAAACATTCATCTTATTAAATTGAACCTTAACTAATACACACATTGAAGAAACTATTACGTGAATGTTCCCCTAAAATCTGGGTAAAAATGGGTTGAAACGGCAACATTGATATTTTGTCGACTGTCGAATTTTATCTCATTTCGGGCACCGTTACTCGCCTATATCCAACTCAAATACCACCGAGCCTACGTCACAAGCATCATACGAGACTGACCACTTCATTCCAAACTGCTCGGGGCATTTTCCGAGACACTCAACTCTCTTCGTTGATTTAAACTAGTGTTCAACGAGCGATGAACTTTTGTTATTAGGCCAATAGTAGAGCGTGGTGTTTGTTCGTTCGCTGTAACAACCAGCAGCAAATGTTAGTTATTGTTTCCATCTCATTCATAACCTTGTCGATCTCCCATTAAAGAGATCGCCTCGTACTAACGAAACCAAAATGGAGTCCCCGCTCATAATTATGATTTATTTTAACAGCAAAATTTCAACCCATTTAGTGTGTGGTAGTAATCAAACGGCAACTACAGTAGCTTACGGTATCGAGGTGCACGGGATCATTTGGGTTAGAAAGAGGTCGTAGAACGTTCAAGGGCTGTAGGGCAGGCCTAGGGCGGCGCCCCCGCCGCTAACATCACCTCGTCGAAGGCCTGCTCCAGGCAATGCTTCAGCTCCGCGTACGACACCACCAGGACACTTTGCTCGTCCCGAGACATCAGCTCCACCTGACAAACCGAACACTTTGTTTTAACACTTATAGCTATGTACAGTCACGGAATGAAAAGGTTCGTCAGTTTTCAAATTGATTCCTTCAACGAATCGCAAGCACATATTATTACCTTTTGAAACTATGTTACAGAATGATCTCGAGTTAGAGAAAATAATCTTTAACTGTTGGTCAGTAAAGTTCAAAATTATTCAGATCAAAGTTGTTTGACGATTTATCTTGTCAAGAAGATTATTATGATTGATAAACTAAAACCTTCTTGTTGGTTCAACCTGCCATTATTATTTCTATTAAATAAAAAAAACTATTGTCAATTGGTCAATGTCATCATTGCATTGCACTGATGGGATAGAAAAATAAACAAGCAAAACCTTATTATTTAGCAAACGTCATATTTATTTAAATGTTAGCAGCACTGTTTCTTGCACTGTTATGTTGGCAGGTTTCTTACAGTACCTAGTGCAAGCGAAAACCGACACTAAGGTGACGAACAAGCATACAAATCTAAAGTCTCGCTTACATTTGACGTAACAAAAAACACCCTCCATTCAACTTAAAAAAATCAATAATCTCTGTATAACGTGGAAAAGGAGGGCTCTTGTCTATTAGTTTTAATAGAAAATTTTCCTTTGTTAGCACGTGCTCCTGCGCATGGATAGCGCGTGATGCGAAACAAATGAATGCGTTTGATAATACATCACGTTTGGAGAGCTCAACATCTATCAGCCACTCTTATAAATATTTACAACGGAAAGATTTTCTGCATTCAGCCATTTCAATGGACATTTCATATGTTGATGTTATGGACCACATCGGTGCTGCAATCGTGAATATTTAGTATTTGTCTCGCTGACGCATTAGTTGACCTCTGCCGGAGCAATCTGAATGTCACGCTTGACTTGACCTACGACTACATTGTAGTTTACACGCAAAAAGGATAAAATTATTCTAAACCTGGAAATGACGTCAAATGCTACACTGATGAATATATGTAGGTCTTACCCGTATTGTTTATACAATTCACTGGTTGTCTATTCCGTGCATAAGAAAAATAAAAGATCTTATTTACATTACAGCCCACTTACGTTACTTTAACGTCGCAAAGCCCAATTCTGGTGGTTGGGGCAGCCCAACTGGTTAAGGCAGTGCGCGAGGATTGCTTGGTCGATCCAGGGCCGGCCGTCCTGGAGTAGACCTTATATCCAGGTGCAGAAGGGCGACATTACCTTCGCGTTGGTGTCCCATCCAACTGGTTAAGGCAGTGGGCGAGGTGGGCTTGGTCGATCCAGGGCCGGCCGTCGTGGAGTAGACCTTATGTCCAGGTGCAGAAGGGCGACATTACCTTCGCATTGGTGCCCCCATCCAACTGGTTGAGGCAGTGCGCAAGGATTGCTTGGTCGATCCAGGGTCGGCCGTCGTGGAGTAGACCTTATGTCCAGGTGCAGAAGGGCGACATTACCTTCGCGTTGGTGTCCCATCCAACTGGTTAAGGCAGTGGGCGAGGAGGGCTTGGTCGATCCAGGGCCGGCCGTCGTGGAGTAGACCTTATGTCCAGGTGCGGAAGGGCGACATTACCTTCGCGTTGGTGCCCCCATCCAACTGGTTGAGGCAGTGCGCAAGGATTGCTTGGTCGATCCAGGGCCGGCCGTCGTGGAGTAGACCTTATGTCCAGGTGCAGAAGGGCGACATTACCTTCGCGTTGGTGCCCCCATCCAACTGGTTGAGGCAGTGGGCGAGGTGGGCTTGGTCGATCCAGGGTCGGCCATCTTCGGTCACCGCATGGAACAGGTAGTCCCGGAACAGTTTGAGCATGTACCGATCGCCTGTCTCGGACCACGACGCGTCCATGTTCAGCCTGCGCGAAAAGATAATAACGTTAAATGGTGTGTGTAATCAGTTGGTTAATATAATCGTTAATGAGGGCTATCGTTTTTATACTTAACAGTTGGCACCCCTGGCGATTGACAGGACCTTACTCTACAGTGGCGCCATCTTGATGAGTGCAAATACGATAGTCCTCCTACCACTTTCGCGCTCACCAGTTGGTGCCACTGTCTTTGCTACTAGCAAGTGACAGGACCTTACTCTACAGTGGCGCTAACTGGTGAGCGCTAAAACGATAGCCCTCATTGCGTTAGGTTTTGTGTGGCAAGTTAATTGTTAAAAACTTTTTAAATCTTATTCGATCTATTCAAAAAGTACTAAACTCGAACTAATAACAAGTTTAAACGTTGCATGGAATCAGCTGAGCGTGACGTCAGACATGCCCGCACCTGTACGGTGACGAGAAATTACAAATATCTGTATCTTAGGGTTTAGTGATTTTTTGAGAAAGAAAAGCACTTGATGATTTGATGATCAAGACCAGAGAAATGTAAGAATATAAATAAAACATGCATATTCCCCTTAAAAATTGAGTTTTAAGGGCTAGAACTAAGTATATTTAGGGAAGCTGTGCCTTGGATTTATTGGTTATTATGTTTATTATCCAATCGTAGGTACTCTTTGGTACGCATGAGCACACAATTTTATAAATAGACTACACAAATATAACAAAGTTTTCTTTATTCTCAATACGTAATATTGTCAAATCTACGATAACCTAATGCCGAATTAGTGTATCATTGCAGGCCACACGATTATGGCATTTATCGCGTTGCAGCAACGATTTGTGATGACGAAACTCACTCTGGACGCTCGTTGATTACGCCGAGCTTGATAAGGATGCGGAGGAGGCGACCGTTGTCTATTTCGCGAGCCAGCTGTTCCTCGAATGCGTCCGCGCGACGTTCGAGCGCCTCCACCTACGAAACAAATAAGCTGCGCTTACGACATAAGACAATTAGACACCGCGAGCTGAACGACTTGCAGCGCCATCTATTGCTCAAATTTACAACTTCGCGCATGCTTATACAAAACAACTAAAGCCCACCGATCAGTGGCACGTTCGACGCAAATAATCCTTGCAAGAATAATTTAACGTTTTACGTACAATATTACCAGCGAAAGGCACATAATTTACTTAGCTATGTTTAATTTAATAACATATAAAACAGTTAAAACACTTTGGATACCTGCATTAGTTCCTTGAGTGCGAAGAAAAAATTTGAGTATGTTTGAAATCATGGAGGGTTGCAAACATCACATGAGTAACATAAAGTTTGTATGACACAACACAACACAAGACATTATCAAGCATGACAACACAATACTAACAAGTTTGCTTTGCCAAAGTTCAGCTGACTGACCCAACATGCTACCTTAATATGGCTTGCTGAGTCAATAGAGAAGTTGATGGCAGATGAAAGCATTCGGAAAGAAGCAAGTACACAGTAGCGAGGATATGAACATACCTGAGTATAGAACCTTGCGCCAATCATCGGCATAAGATCGGTGACGGAGCGGCGCGTCGGTGTCGTAGAAAGCAGGTACCTGTACACAACAAACATTCTAAGTTCGCGGTGCAAGCAGAGTCGCCCAGACAGAAGCACACTGGCCGATCAATGTCTTAGAATACATCGAAGCCAACTGCATGCTGTCTACAATACATATCGGTGTTTTCTGTTTCGTTTTTCCAGTTTCCTGTCCATGCAACCTCATATAACTGATAGTACATAAGATATTATGTATTTCCCAAAAACGTATTTTTAAAGTAGAATTAATTGGGCATCTAAATATATACAGTGTGAGTCACGTTAAAGTGTACATATGAAAATAGATGAAACTAGACCTATTTTTATCGACAAAAAAGAGGTCAAAAATTTTTTGAGATTTTTTTTTATTTTTTTATATAATTTTTTATCTTCGAATTACTTATTGTAAAGAAAACGTAATAACTTTTAAACTAAGCGGTATATCCTGATAAAATAAAAACAGAAATAATTCTAAATAATAGGCGATACTAAAAAAATACATAAAATACACAAAAAAGGCCAACAAATAATAAAAAATGACACTTTTTGAAAAAAATCTGCTTCAAAATTCGTGTTTTTTTGGTTATTTGATAAATTTCTCCAAAAAATGCCCCAATAATAGGTGGTTTTTATTACTTTGTATTATTCTCTATCGTATTATCTTTGTAAAACTAAAAATCGCATGTCTCTAGCCCTGTCACAACATTTGCTATGATCGTTTGAACAAAGGCCTGCCACAACATTATTCTCTGCTACAGGTAGAGACAATTTTAATTTTAACTAAAATGCTTATTTTACTTCGAAATCTTTTGTTTTTATTTGAAATCTAACTTGTCTTTATCAAAATTACAAATCTAGAGCCATTTTCAGTTTCGTTATTAACGAAGCGTTAAATGGCGCGCCCGGAGAGGCTTAGTTCAAACGATCATTGCAAACGTTGTGATAGGGATAGAGACATGCGATTTTTGGTTATACGAAGGTAATACGATAGAGAATAATACAAAGTAATAAAAACCACTGGTTATAGGGGCATTTTTTGGAGAAATTTATCAAATAACCAAAAAAACACGAATTTAAAAGCAGATTTTTTTCAAAATGTGTCATTTTTTATTATTTGTTGGCCTTTTTTGTGTATTTTATGTATTTTTTTAGTATCGCCTGTTATTGAGCATTATTTCTGTTTTTATTTTATTAGGATATACCGCTTAGTTTAAAAGTTATTACGTTTTCTTTACAATAAGTAATTGGAAGATAAAAAATTCTATAATAAATTAAAAAAAAAATCTCAAAAATTTTTTGACCTCTTTTTTGTCGATAAAAATAGGTCTAGTTTCATCTATTTTCATATGTACACTTTAACGTGACTCACACTGTATAACTCAAAGGTGACTGACTGACTGACTGACATAGTGAACTAGCTGACCCGGCGAACTTTGTTCCGCCTTAATGGCATTGTCATCCATACGTCATGTTACATAGCTGTCATTATACGTCAATTACATAGCTGTCATTTGCGTTTTGTTATTCCAAGTCTGATTCTTTTTTGTTATACCACGTTTTATAGTGACTGACGTTTCATGTCGAGTCACACGGGAATGCTGTCGAACGGGATAAAAAGTATCCTATGTCCTTCCCCTGGCTCTAAACTACCTCCCTGACAATTTTCAGCTAAATCGGTTCAGCCGTTCTTGAGTTATAAGTGGAGTAACTAACACGACTTTCTTTTATATATATAGATTAGTGATCTATCAACGCACAGCCCAAACCACTGGACGGATCGAGCTGAAATTTGGCATGCAGGTAGATGTTATGTCGTAGGCATCCGCTAAGAAAGGATTTTACGAAACTCCACCCCTAAGGGGGTAAAGCTGGATCCATCGATCGATCGGGCGTAGCTTAGGTACCGTAGAGGTGCACTAAGAATGGAATTTCCGAAATTCCCACGGGAACGGGAATTAGCGGGAAAATCCTTTTGTATGAAAAATCTAAACCGCTTAAGTTAGACGCTTGAAATTTGGCATGCAAGTAACTTAGTAAACTTAAAGCTTAGTTACAACAGGATATTGCGGGTTTTTTTAATTTAATTTATGCCTATTAAAAGAAAACACCATTTTATATACATATATGTAATAAGAACATATATTTTTACATAGCTTTCCACATGCGTGACTAGATCGGCTTTTGACTTGCCACATTTAAGAATCACCCGAGATACATAAAATACAGGCCAAAGACGGCAATACGACAATAAATTTCACATTATTTATTTGATGTTGGTAGCTCCTACTTTGCTAGAACAAATAAAAGCCACACAAATATCTACTTTAATCAAAGGTCGAAAATTTACACTATGCTGTTTAAATACGATAAGTTAAAAAGAAAACATTATTTTATTTTTGAGTTCGATTACGTTGTGATGTAACAAAATGCATATTATTGCTTATGTTAAAAGCATAGGAACCACAGAGCGATTAATTTGAATAACTAAAATATTGCATTATGCATACCATAGGTATCATTTCATTAAATTTGACCATACAATATTTTATAATGGTGGTGAATGTAATGCCACCCTGGCTGGCAGCCACGCAACATACAATAATGACAAGTAATTATTTTAAGTTGGTTTTACCTTAATTTGTATTTGGTGGTAACAAAAAACTATTTTTGTACAAAAATATTATTCTTGCAATAAGTCAAAGTCAAAGTGCTTGATATTTTTAATACTCATACGAACGAGTACATGAATTGTTTTTATTTATTGTGGTATAGTCGTCTCCAGCCTGTACCAATAACGGGTAAAAAAATGCGTTCTTACATTCGGCCCGTACGGGAATAGAACCCGCAACCGCTGGCTGTTGATCGCGAAAAAAACCAATCATAAATCGTTCGCCGCAGCTAGATCGAGGCGTCATCTCAGCTTGCAGGGCCGGATTTAGGGGCAAAAGGTACAGCACTTCACGTCCACACAAGGGCAATTGAAAAATATTGTTTGCCAATACAAAAAAATGCAAACTCTAAATTATACGGGCTGAATTTTTAATGACTGCACCAAAGTTTAAAACGTTTTACTCACCAATTTTATCATAAACATTTTTACTACGTCACTAAACTAAATTCAAAAAAAAATTGTGCTCTATCTACAGTCTAAATGATATGAGATGAAAATTTATGAAAAAGCAGTTTTTTTTCTATTTCACTACTGATCCTATAGCGAAAGTTGTTCATGTAATAGGTAGAACATATTACAGTCATTAAAAATCAGCTGTATAAATAGCATTGTTATTCATTAATCATTACTGTCTTTACAAATGTTAATGAGTTTCGATGTTAGTAAAAAAAGAGGCAACAAAATTAGCAAAGCGTAAAGGTAAAGTGTTTATACAGGGTGTTTGGTAAATGGGTATATGAGCCGACACTAACCCATGTTAACATGGGCATATAAATGGTATGGTGAAGTCAGAAATTTGATATCATCATTTGAATTTTATAAAATTTTCATACTAAATAAATTTTATAAAATCCGATTTGTATGAAAATTAAAATAATTAAAATTATGATATCAATTTTCTGACTTCACCATACCATTTATATGCACATGTTAACATGGGCTAGTGTCGGCTCATATACCGATTTACCTAACACCCTGTATATTTGGCTAAAACGAGTGCTAAGAACAACAGCAGCTAAAACTCTAAATCCGGCCCTGCGCGGCATGCCAGGGCCACACTTACAGTATCAGGTTCTTGAGGTCCGCGGAGTAGGTGCGCGACACGAGGTCCATTGATGCCGGCAAGTTGTCGCAGTGCACCGTCCGGCACGCGAGCGCCAGCGCTAGCCGGCCCAGCGCCGTCAGGTCTTCTTGCTGGGCCTGACGCAGAGGACAGTTTATGCCGCAGTTCTTTTTATGCATAACAAGGCCGGTATTTGACCACAATCGCACATGTTAAGTGGGATGCAGGATGGTACATATGTACCATCCTAGACTGCATCTCACTTAACACCAGGTGCGATTGCGGTCAAATACTTACCTGCCTTGGCTAGCATAAAAAAAAAAAATATCTGCCCTGTAAGTGCCTATTCACTCTCGCCTTAAAAGGCCCGGATTATAGTCTTCGGGAAAGACAGCAGCAGGCAGCGAATTCCAGTCCCTAGCTGTTCGCATTATAAAAGAGTCATCGAAACGCTTAGTGCGAGCAGGTGGAATGTCAACAATATAGGGATGGTACGCTAACCTGCGTCTGGTTCCCCGATGATGGAATTAGTTCGTATAATTCTTTCGCACATACTCCGAAGTGTATCCTGTAGAAAACCGATAGAGATTGTTACACTATCCGTGAACTTGATCGAATCAGACAGTGTCAACACGCAGTACAGTTTGTTTCGCCGTACGTCGCCCATACTTCCGTGCGCGTAATCGCGCTTGTGTTCGATCAACTTCGCGCATCGTGCAACTAGGTCTATAGGAATAAGATCGTCAGCCGGGCTTCTATTGGAATAAGTAAGGTAGCATGAAGGCGTTGGATACAGGCTGCTAGCAACCAGTCAATTTGGAAATTATTGAGGGAGACCTACTTTCGGCAGTGGACGTCCTGTGCTGAGATAATGATGATGATGACAATAGGCTAGTTTCTTAAAAAATTTTTTTTAGTCCGTCATGTTTAATATCAAAAAATATTGGACACATATATTTTTATTTGTCAATCTAACAAATAATTACATAGTTATGGTGCGTTGAAGTTCCGCACAACGTCACAACGTGCGGCACTTTTATGCACGCATTGACGTCACGGGCCTCTTCTTATGAACTTTGGCGCGCTTTATCTCTTTAAATTTTCATTAGTGAAAAAGTGAAAAATACGTGTAGAGTATTTTTTGATAAGTTAACTGACGGACTAATTAAAACTCTTGCTTTATGACCCAGGAAACATCCCTATTGCCAGGTCTTCTTAATGGAGTTGACACAACAGCGGACATTTTACCCTATTTGAATTGGAATAAGTAAGGTAGCAGGAAGGCGATAGATACAGGCTGCTAGCAAAATATCAATTTGGAAATCAATGGGAGAGGCCTATGATCGGTGGTGGACGTCCTGTAGCTGAGATAATAATGGCGAGAAAATCGTCAGGCCTTCTTGCTGGGCTTGACTCAACAGCGGAGATTTTACCTTATTTTATTTCTATTGGAATAACTAAGGTAGCATGAATGCGTTAGATACTAGCTGCTATTATTCAGTCAATTTGGAAATCATTGCGAGAGGCCTATGTTCGACGGTGGACGTCCTGTGGCTGAGATAATAATGGTGATGAAGATCGTCAGGTCTTCTTGCTGGGCTTGACAAAACAGTGGACATTTTACCCTATTTCTATTGGAATAAGTAAGGTACAAGCAGGAAGGCGTTGGATACAGGCTGCTAGCAACCAGTCAATTTAGAAATCATTGGGGGAGACCTATTTTCGGCAGTGGACGTTTAATTAATTCTCATAATTAATTAATGATGATGAAGATCGTCAGGTCTTCTTGCTGGACCTTACACAACAGCGGATATTTACCTTATTTCTATTTGGAATAAGATTTCATCGTTTTGTTAATACTTATGTACCTACTGTCGTGGGTAGTCACAAAGTAATAATGGCAGGAGTTATGGTGAACACCACTTCATAATGTCGGCATAATATGACATATTACGCATACGTATGCTTGATGCGTGAGGCATATGCCTCATGTAAATGACACTTTTGTCAAAAACTTTATTTTTTTATCCACAACGAGGAAGCTCTTGGCCTGTATTTCACCTGATGGTAAGTGATGATCAGGCCGAAGGTGGAAGCGAGCTTCACCCGGAATCCTCCACCACGGAGGAACTGGCTATCTTACCTCTATGCAATGGAGGGAAGTCGAACCTTAATTTCGAACTCCTCCTATGTTCTTCTGATTAATTTCGTTGCGGGTCCAATGACAGTTTAACTTTCCCCCGGGACAAACTTGACCTTCATTGGTTGGGTTTTTGTGGCGGTCAAGCTGTAGATCCTAGCTACACAGGAGTTGCAGTGGTGGGAACGAGAGGTGGGAATAGTCCCGTTATCTTACCTCTAAGGTAAGTGCCCCCTACTTCGGTATATTAAGGCTCTTACGACTTTAACAATTTATTTAAAAATAACCAAGGATGATATCAGTATGAAAGCTTTTGTATGCTAAAGTTTGGTCTTTTGACAGTAACTTAATACATAAATTATAGTTATATTGTTTAATTTTTACCCTTTTGCCTTACCCCCCCCCCCCCCCCCCCCCTTATTATAGGTAACCTGGTTTAAATAAATTAAATGAAACCATCAATCGAGCTAGTAGGATTTATTTTATTATTCATCAATAATCAAATTCAGAACTTGAATATTCAACTGCAATGTCTGCTCATGAACGCTTCAAACTCGGTACTTCTTTCCCAATTCCATAAAATTCAACACTTAGAAAGTGACAAAAAAATTTTGAAATAGGTAGTTGAAACAAACCACAGCTAATTTTCATAGTGGACTGTACTATACGATAAACATGTCAGTCAATTTGACAACCTTTGTCGGAAACACTATTCAATGAAAATATTGTCCGAACCCTTAGTATTTCTCTTCGACAAATACTTTAACACATTGTGAACCACTTTTCTTTCACGACTATAAAAAGATTTTAGCAATTTAATTCACAAAATCAATTGCGCACATTTAAAATAAAGTTTGTTTACACTTTGACAGCAATAGACTGACATGCAAGATGACATGTCAATGAAGTTTTCAGTTACTGTTGCCATTAAAAGAAATTAGTACCATTAGTTTTCCGCAACATGGCGAGGGTTTTTATGTTCCTGGTCGGGCTTTAGTAGTGTTAGATATTGAAATTCGTCATAAATTCAAAGTTTATGGAACAATTATACAAAAATTATCCATACACGTCAGACTGACGGACTAAATAGAATTTCGCTTTCACTACCCAGTCATCATCCCAATTGTACCAAGTATATTGTTCTGTGGATAGGGCTAGGTACCTGCAGGCCAGCCCAGCGGAGTGGATGGCGCGGAGGGCAGCCGTGAGTTGCACCAGCAGGCTCCACAGCACCGCCTCCGGTAGCAGGGCGCCGCACGCCACGGCGCGGAGCATCGCGTTCTTCTACAAGGGGGAACGGGCTTCAGAACACACGAACACATTTATACATACTGCTCATCGTGAACAATCTAAAACGTCAAATAACGGTACTACCCGTTCGCGCTAAGTTTGCCGGTCCCTGGTATGTGCGTCCTCTCCTCCAACCGCGATTAGTGTGTCTTATTTTACCCAAATACACAGTTTTTAACTTTTTATCAATAATAATAAATAATAAATAAATAAGTATAGTTTGATAAAGTTATAGACGCTTCTCTTCAAGTGACGTCATATCGCCTGCGGCAAACTTAAAGCGAATGGATAGTATCGTTATTTATAGCCAATGAGCTGTTGTCATAGTGATTAGTGACATAGAAACGTCAGATTAGAACGCGCGGGGACGACTCCCCGCGCTTTTGTGCTAAGTGATGAATTGTATTTAAAAATGAGGCAATCTAAATACATATAACTCAAAGGTGACTGACTGATTGACTGACATAGTGATGTGATTGATAACGCACAGCCCAAACCACTGGACGGATCGGGCTGAAATTTGGCATGCAGGTAGATGTTAATGACGTAGGCATCCGCTAAGAAAGGATTTTACGAAACTCCACCCCTAAAGGGGTAAAACGGGATCCACGCGTACGAAGTAAATATGAAAGTTAAGTATCCAGTGTTTTATTTATGAGAATAGATCTACCAGCCTCTAACATTACATAACCCTCGCGGTGCCATAGCCCTACCTAAACCTTAGCTGGTTACATCGGTCCAACTAAACATCACAGCTTAGGTTACATTGCCCCAGTGAAACCTACACTGGTACCATTTTTCAGGTCAGTTAGTTACACTAAAATATTCGCTGGTTCCATCGCCACACGGCACACCTAAGCCTTCATTGGTGCCCTACTTCCAATAAAACTTTTACTAGTTAGGTACATCCTGGATCACTGCTGTAAAATGATAATGATGGTGATGGGGCATACCTGGTGGGTATACGGCCTCGGTGCATCCGGGTCGGACGAGAATGGGTCGTGGTAGGCCCCGTTGGCCTCCGCCGAGGAGCCCTGGCCGCCCGTGGCCAGGTACTTGCTCATCAGGTTGCCGCAGCCCGGGTGGTAGTCGTACACCAGGATCATGGCTGATGGGAAACACGCAGCTTAGAACAACGGATAGGGCGAGCCAAATCACGAGCCCAACACCACTGTTAGTTTAAATGATTCGATTCGTCGATCGAAAACTCTCGGTTGTTATTTCAGCTCCTTTGAAATGAGTGAGTTATATTGCGGTAAAATTTTGTACTTCAATTTTGTAACCTTCAAAGAAATAAAATCCCTTTTTGACCTAATTGAAAGGACAAAACATTAGCTCGTTTTATAAAAACTTATTGAAAAAAATTGCCATTATTTGAGTTAAATCATACAAATATCATAACTGAGCTTCGTCAGATCAAAAAGTTTGATCACAAATTACTTTAAATAAGTATTGGGTCCATTATTTGACTCGCCCCTATAAACGTGAATAGTACCGGTATTGTCAGTCGCCCACAGCCCTACGAGCTCGCATCACCCGTGTCTACTGACAAGGGTAATAACGTTAAAGTCAAACACCTCTAGTTACTTAAACGACAATAAAACTCTTGCGGCTCGTAAACTATACGTGGAACGTGGATACAAGCTTGGCGTGCCAAAAATTTTGATCGCCGTAAGAGTAACAAAAAGTGCGATATATTGTCATAAGTCAGCAGCATACACGTTAAGCTACATATAGCGAAGATATTGTCCGTGGTCACGCATACTATTCATAGCAATTCAGTATCAAGTAGGTAGGATCACAGTGGTGTGTTCTGTAATTTTTATGAAGATGCTACAGCTACATTGCTGAAAAGCTAGAGTATAGTGTCTACTATTTACTGCTTTCATATAAATAAAAATACAACCATCATGATATAAGTATATATTAGTATATAAAAACGAAAATCAAAAGGTCTTTGTATAGACTAGAGTTCACTAACGAACACCAATACATTCACTAACAATAACATACGAACACACACATACCTATGAAAGATAAAAGTATATCTCATAGACTCAACTAAATGACGAGATTACAAAATCGTTTTATTTACAATACATTATAAAGAAAAAAAGAACATTCTATGGGAGAATACTAGTTAAACTTATGAGGCCTAACCCAAAAAAGTTAATCGCGTTGAATACCGGTTAAAATGACATTTCCATAGTAAATGTCAGTTTAAACAAGTTTTAAACTTTTTGTAGGAAGGCCCATGCTCGTCAATAATGTAAGGTTGAAATCTAAAACTTCGGTGCATGCATTATGCGAGTATGATCTCAGAATAGAATGAAATGAAATGAAATGAAATCACAACGAGACGTCAATATTACCCGATTTGACCGCTGCCAATATGTTCCATAATGATCATCCGACGCAGTATTCAAATATGCAATCGTATTCGCTCGAGCTGCACCTCAAAATGGGGTCCAACTTATGACAGTCAAATGAGCTTGACGCGATATTCAAGGTGGGCCCGCGGCCAATTCGCAGGAAGCTGTGGTTTTATAATCAGAAATTACGCGTATGTCTGTTCCCCTCTGTTTTAAGACAACACTTTTATGCTAGTGCGTCCACAAAGCTATCAGAAACGGACCAAATGTAGATTAAAACACGTTAAGACTGTCGCCATTACGATTTATCAATCAGTAAGTACACATTTAATTACCTTGCAATATAGGTTTTACAGGCAGAAATCAATAGAAATCTCACAAGCTTCGTGCGAACCATTCACAATAAACAGAAAGTAACACACGAGCAAATCCGAATGAAGTTGTTAAAGACAAATATTGCATCCATAAGAGCGTACATGAAAAAAGGACGCATTTTTTATTTAAAACCGACATTACAAAGTCGATATCAATTTGTAAGTCGATTGTTTTCGCCCCTGTGCGTCAAATTCACTGTATATATGTTAGGGTGGTCCTTATTCCTACGAAAAAAAATTTTTTTCTTATATTTTGCGGGGCACCACGTAATTTGAATATATACCATATGAAAGTCTTTCATTATTATTTTTTTAATTTTTAAAAGACATTTAGGGGTCGCTACCAAGGTTTGAATTTTAAGTAAAAACACAAAATCTGTATTTGTTAGATTTATTTATTTTTAGCCAAAGCCAAATAAAAATATTACAAAATTATTGTTGTTGCTATGAACTAAGATAATATGTACAATGTACATTATTTGAATCAATTATTTTTAAGATATAAGAGTTGACTTGTTTGTATCTTGACGCGTCGGTACCATGGTCGGTACAGAAGAGGGGTTGAGGGGAGAAGGGGACAAGAAGCGATTGTCTATTCTATCTATGCGATGTTCATTTGCACGTAAAATGTGATATAAACACTTAAATAAAACATTTATGAAACCATGATTTAAGATCTTCAAAGCTTTTTGTAAATATTTTGACAGCTGGTAGCGACCTCTAAATCTTAACCAAAAAAATAATAAAGAAAGCTAATTTCATATTTAGAGGTATATAATCGAATGAGAAAGTGCCCCGGGGATAATTCAAAAGTCGAAAAATAAGGACCACCCTAATATATGTATGTTTGAAGACTAAGATACATTATTTCAAGTTTTTGTGATGGGCATACAAATTAAATGACAAAATATTTTATGCAGCTACAAACAGGGTTAGTTTTTGCAATGGGCATACAAATGAAAAGGGGTTTGTTAGCAACAAGCTGAATTGCGACAGTCCTCCATTTGGCATATTACATGGCTGCTAAACTTTTCAGATTAAAGGACCAAAGTCTGAAACGGCTTCCATGGCTATTTTTATAAGGTAGAGCCTTGAAGTGAGGGTTTCTGAATATATTTGCTTGACTTGACTTCTTGACGTCAACTTTCAAGTCGCGTTATTCTGGGAGAAGCCTGTGTAATTAACTTTCCACAACTTCGAAAAAACTTTACAGACTGTTACTATTTGCGGTAACTTTGACCAAACATAGTACGACTTCTTAATGTTGTAATTGGATTGTATAATTTCTTTGGTTTCTACATGTGACGTGATTAAAAAATGTAACTAATGAATGATCTTTGAAATAATTTTGATATGCATCTATGTGAGGATAAAACATGTATTAATTTAAAATCAGCTGGTAGGTTCAATAAAAATTTTGATTGTATGTCACGAAGAGTAGATTTAAGGTATTTTCACATGGCGAAGGGGCGTACATATAACACGCCTGCATGCCCCGGAGCAATGTGTTACACCTTAAACAAGTCGACCGGTGATTGCAGGCAGCTGTACAAGATGGCGGCATTCGCATTGGAGATGACCCGTGCATGCTGTGAAAGTATGTTACACTTCGACCAAGCTATGCGGTGCGAGGACACTCTGGCCACGCCTCCGCAAAGCTTTGGTGGAAGTGCAGCAAAAATGATTTTTTTCTGAAAGGAATAATGTAACTGTGACATAGAGGTGTCAAATGAGTCCGACTTACAATGATCGCCGAACGCCTTGGTGGTGAAGCAGTCGTGGAGACGGACCACATTGGGGTGGTCGATTTGTTTCCAGGCGTCCAGGCGTTTGTTGCCGACGCTGTTGTAGTTATGGAGGCGGCGGATGGCATAGTGGTCGCCGCTGTGGCGGTGCGCCGCGCGGAAGCTGGTCGCCATGGAGTGAGGCGCCGCGCTCTCCAGGGGCGTCAGATCAGAATACATCTCCACGTTCTCGGGCAAATCTGGGGAGGGAGATGGCATCAGTGATTTTTGTCAGCGATCAGCGAACACGCAGGTTCCCGACTCATTACCACCCTCTCTCTCTCTTACTCTTTTAGCTCGTGCTGATCTGGAATGGATTCGAAGAAGTCACTGTGGACCGACCACCTGTTGTTGTGTAAGGTCACTGGGAATACATATCTTCAGTTCGTCAGTGTCATTACCACCCTCTCTCTCTCTTACTCTTTTAGCTCGTGCTGATCTGGAATGGATTCGAAGAAGTCACTGTGGACCGACCACCTGTTGTTGTGTAAGGTCACTTGGAATACATATCGTCAGTTCGTCAGTGATTTTGGCCAAGCGATGCGGGTAAAGACGCAAGTTCCTGGCACATGACCACCCTAAGTCTCTCTCTCTCTTACTCTTTTAGCTTGTGCCGATAAGGAATGGAGTCGAAGAAGTCACTGTGGACCGACCACCTGTTTTTGTGTAAGGTTACCATTTGGGAAGGCAGATAGCGTCAGTGACTTAGTCCAGCGATGCGGATAAGGACGCAGGTTCCCGACTCATTACCACCCTAACTTTCTCTCTCTTATTCTTTTAGCTCGTGCCGAGCAGGAATGAGGAGATCCGTAAACGAACTAAAGTCACTGACATAGCCCGACGGATTAGCAAGCTGAAGTGGCAATGGGCAGGGCACATAGTACGCAGAACTGATGGCCGATGGGGCAGCAAGGTTCTGGAGTGGAGGCCACGTACCGGAAAACGCAACGTGGGACGTCCACCCACAAGGTGGACCGACGACCTGATAAAAATAGCAGGAAGGCGCTGGATGCAGGCCGCTACTAACTGTGCGATGTGGAAGTCATTGGGGGACGCCTATGTTCAGCAGTGGACGACCTGTGGCTGAAATGATGATGATGATGAGCAGGAATGGAGTCCAAGTCACTGTGGACCGACCACGTGTTTTTGTGTAAGGTTACCTACCATCTGGAGAGGCAGATAGCGTCAGTGACTTAGTCCAGCGATGCGGATAAGGACGCAGTTTCCCGACTCATTACCACCTTAACTTTCTCTCTCTTATTCTTTTAGCTCGTGCCGATCAGGAATGGAGTCGAAGAAGTCACTGTGGACCGACCACCTGTTTGTTTGTGTAAAGTTAGGTGCCTGCAGCGATCGACCTTGATTATTGCACCAGGAGCCAGCATCATTATGTAATCACTCATAGACGGAACCGGTTTTCTACATTCTAAATTATTATGATATGAAATTGATTGATGGCATTCCAATATCGAAGTCCGGTCAGATTGTAATGATACCTGGGTATTGGCGCAGGTCAGTCTGCAAAAACACATCTTCATTGCGTTCGTAAATCTCGTTGCGAATGGTCTCCGGCTGGTAGAAGGACGCGGCCAGACCTGTCAGGACAAAAGACATTCACATTGGTATGAAGAACTATGACCAGCAGCATTTGGTTTAGGCACTAGGTAAATAGTGAATATAGTTTGCGGCAGTAGAAACTGGCAAGTGAAATTTTTTGTAACAAATGGAAGAGTTCGGAGCTTATATTTTATCCAAGTTGTTGGAGTCAGACGTCAAAATCAAATGGTCCTCAAATCGAGGCATACTTAAAATTAAAATAATAACTATTTGAAGTTAACCGAAATGAAAACCGTAAAATCACATAACATCAGTAAAATAAAAATATATTTGTTCAAGTGAGGTATCCACCACCTCAATTATAAAATGGGTCTCAAAATCATGAAGTTTATCAAAAGTTAAATTTAAATTGTTCAGATTAACTCGTATGTTAGTATGAACATTATAGTCAATCTTTTCCTTCACAGGAGTAGGCCAATGTTTGATTGTTGTACACCGCTTCATTTGTGCGCCAATAAGCGGTGCACTTTGAAGTACTTCTGAGAATAACCATCTGACAAAGGGGACCAATCGTATGCTTGTTGTTCGCAGGATGTTGCAGTTTTTCTTGTCCATCAAGATTTACATGAACAAAAACAGGATGCAACCGTTCAGTGCATCCATTAAAGTGTTAGAACTTGGGACTGCATCAAAGACCTAAAATACGCAGTGGAAGACGCCCAACACTGTTGACCTTTAAGCCGCCGTAATAGTAAACGCGTCGTGGATTCATACTGCAATTGACTGAGGTTTGCAGCTGTTAATGCATTGATGAGGCGTGATTGCCTGGTCACGTTGCAGCGAGCGGGCTCTTGACACCAATCCCCTGACGACTCGATTGGTTAAATGACGTCAATTGCGAACGCCTGGTCTATTACTGTCTGTTTGAACCTAATAGTTAAATGGTTCGCAGACCTAGATATTGAATAGGCATAACATAACTATAAATAAGTGTAGAAATCAAGTTGCAAAGAGATATGTGATGCCAGATACAAAACTTTTGCTGCACTTTGCTTTACAGCAACCTTTGACACAGTTTCCAGACTTTCCAGTAATAGTAGGGCAACAAAGGGTGTAATTGCAACTCATCCCAAACTACTAGTCAGTGCAGTTGCATAAACCTCGCACTAGTTTGTGTTGTGTAATCATTTCACATGACATAAAAACGTCCACCCCTATAACCACCAGCTCCTATAATGTCGTGACAATGTAACGTATCATTACAGCGTAATTCCACAAAGCCTAATTCTATATTTTAGGTAGGTAATAGCAGGCACATAGGCTGTTAACAAATTGACCGGTGTCAACGATGCGAATGAGATGTCATCATACAAAACGGTTCAGGAAGATGATAAGTTACATAACGTGTCATCAAGCAGGTGCTGTATACTTTATAAACGATGATTTGTGCTTGTACCTATTATGGGACTAGAGGCAGTCATATGCACCTGACTATGTAATCACCAGGCTGTTAGTTGGTGCACGTTAAGGAAAGACACAAAGTTCTAAATATTTTTGCATTTAGAGCATCGTCTGCTCACGTGCAAGTTTTTATCATAGTTTTCACAATTTTGAAAGCATATAATTATCACTGAAGTTTGTCTCTTAAACATTTTTAGTGTTTCTAACTTGATAGACAAGTGATAAAGTTCTCATTGGACATCATGAATATGCGTAAGCACTCGCATTAAGCCTTTGAGAGCCGCAGTGAGCAGCAGACATCCCAAATACAGCAAATGACTTTTGGGTAAAACGAAAAAGTCAATTTTTCGATACGCAGGGCGGCATCTATGCAGCTGTAAAAAAAAAAACATGGAATATGCAATTCCCTGCATACATTTATATTTCATCGATAACACGATCCAATGAGCGAGGAAAGTAATGCGAGCAAACTATACCTTATATTTCAGGAATCAATGAGCGATTATAAATTACTGCTAGGAAGGCAATCCAGTAAAAGACCAAGAGAAATTATTTTTTCCAAATTCTTTCTCGGAATGGATCCAACATGCTTCACATACAACTTCGTAATAAGTCGTTGCGGAGGTATTTAATTAAATTACGTCATCTGACGACAAAGCTTTCAGACAAAGCCTTCAGGCAAGAGCTTTCAAAGGATCTGAGAAGTTTGCATTCCAAAGCTGTTAACCCGCGGTATTTATTGTGCTTGAGAGCTTATTAAATTTTCACGGCGATGAGTTGGATGTGTCTGCAAGAAGCTTTAAAGAAGTAACTTTCTTTTCACTAGTAACATACCTTACGTAACACAGAAGTTTATAAACCTGGATTTTGAACAACTGGAGGACCGAAATCTATTAGTTTGACATATATTTTGGACAATCAGGTTGACCCAGTAACCGAACTAAGGACTTCTGTATACCGGATGACACGTAATAAAATAACAACAACTGGTTAATGTTACAGACTAGCTTTTGCCCGCGGCTTCACCCGCGTGAAATTTAGTTTGTGACAGATCGTCATAAATTATACCCTATATGTTAATCTGGGTTACAAACAATAATACTGTAAAGTTTCATCAAAATCCGTTCAGTAGTTTTTGCGTGAAAGAGTAACAAACATCCAGACATCCAAACTTTCGCTTTTATAATATTAGTAGGATGAAAATGTAGAACGCCTGAACAACTGATAGGTTGAAAGATAATGTATTTGGAAGAATTGAAAACAATAAAAATATACCTAAGTACTATAAACTTGACTTTGACTTCACCCCGGCAGACAATGAAATATAAACAGATTGATCACAGTCATGTCACCCCAGGACTCAATATCGCGCAAACCTATGCTAATAAAAATTTGTTATTCTAACCCACTAGCAGCGCGACCTACCTACATGATATTATAATAAATAATCGTATTTATTGGAACACAAAGGCGGACACTCGCGACTTTGTTTCCAAAAACTTATTAGCTACTTCATCGTGGCAGAATCTGCGACTTTTTTCCCTATAAGACAAAGTGATTAATTAACATTGATTCAGCAGAAAACATAAATGAAAGGTACTTTTTGGACTCCTACCAATGTCGCGGCAGTCCTATGTATTTATGCAGTTTTAAGGCGTATGGCACACACAAGGCGTATCTCATGGCATGCAAATGGTCGAGTTCGCAGTTCGCAGGCATGTCATGATGTGACTATGCCTTTACTTGTAATATTTTAACTCGGATACGATTTTCTTTCAGGTGATCGCAGTTTTACTCAGACCGAGATATGGACCTGTTGTCTAAGATCATCCCAAAAGTATTTAACTGTGTTTACATTTTATTTTTCGGTTTCTTGTGGTTTTGGATACAAGCTGTTACAATTTTGGCACGGTCTCAGGATACAGTAAGTGCTTAACTACTAATTGTATCACTCAGATTAATTTTATTTTTTTACGTCATATGCGACTCGGTGGCAGAAAATAGCTTGACGAGCTTTCCGTAGCGCGAACTGTTTCATGTCGGATCGACTTGATATTCTTTCGCTTATCATTAAGGTAGTTCACCTATACTTTCTCAATCAAATTCAAAAGCACAGAGGCGTAGATTGTTATTAAAAGATTCAGTATCCATGCATAAATGTAGAGGTATCCTAGCGCCAAGTGCGCTCACGCATTAGATTAAGTATAAGACAGTGCTTCTGCATAACTTTTAAATCAACATTTGACGTGGTGCCGTGTACGGAACAAACGCGTACACAACCCCGTCCAAAGATGAAAATGAAATGGAGGGTGATTAGTGCGCAATACGCGAGTCGAGCCGTCCTGGTTGCAACGGGAGCGACGGGTCTCGCGTAACGGGAGGATGGGGTTGCAAAAAATTGGCAGTCCGTTCCCAATTAGTCTTTGAGGGTTGATTATTGCTTTGTAATTCGACAATGTACTGAATAATAATGATTTAGGTATAAATCTGACGCCGGACGTAAAGACAACATACTTTCTTTGTAGGATTGTTTCAAATGTCTAGAATTCTATAAGAATTTCCAAAACAGCGCCTTATCGTATTTGGTTGATGTTTTAATTCCGCCTGGTTAGCTAAAATCACACACTTTTAAATTATATCAAACTAGCTTTCCGCCCGCGGCTTCGCCCGCGTGGAATTTTGTCTATCACAGAAAAATCTTATCGCGCGCGTCCCTGTTACAAAAATCGGAATAAAAACTATCCTATGTCCTTTCTCGGGACTCAAATTATCTCTATGCCAAATTTCATCAAAATCGCTTCAGTGGTTTAGGTGTGAAAGCGTGACAGACAGACAGACAGAGTTACTTTCGCATTTATAATATTAGTATAGAAGTATAGATTCTTTAAATCAGGGCATGAATCTCAGAGCTTATAGGAACGTGCTCAAGCCGTTTGTTTGCGAGCGGCACTCGCGAGGGGGCGCAGCGATCGCCAATATGGGCATTGGGCATTGTCGCCACAATCTTTAGCTTTTCATCATATTATTATGCGGTTCAGTGTCAACTACAATTGATCATCATCATCATTTCAGCCACAGGACGAACATAGGCCTCCCCCAATGACTTTTCATGAAAATTCATTTATTTCCACAAATCAATAACCGTGTAACAAAATTGTCAGTTTATTCGATAACTTCCTGTCTCGTAGTCTGTGTTAGACATAGACGTACTTCCTTGGACGAATAAGCGTACTTCCGGAGGCGTATTATGGAGGTAGTATAGCCTCCCATACCACCCAGTCGGGGACAGGAAGAGGGTTGCGTACGAGGGAATAATTGGATACCAAATCATAATGTACACTTCCTGGAGACCAAACGAGGTTTAAGTGTACGGTGTACAAAGAATGTCACGTCAAAATCTCAGACACACCGGCTTGCACAATGCCTGACAGTTGTGCAGGTAGTTTTATAAAGAAATCATTATTTTCTTGACAAAGCCATAAACAAAGCTAATAGCCATTTTATCAAAATTCTGAAAAAAAAAAACCTAACTTTAGAGTTAGACTAGAGTTTTTACAGAAACTTTCACACTTCAGCG